AATTCCTACACTCATCATGTGACATATTTTATTACTTATTACTAATTAGTATGTTTAAAACACATGCTTTATTCCTTTCAGAAGGATAGGAAGTACTGTTGTATTCACCTTTGTGACCCATCCAGTACCTTTACAGGGCAGGCACTTGAAAATAATTTGCTGGCTGCTTAACTGCTACACAGTGAGGTGTGCTGGGGGCTATACTATTATGAGAGTTGAGAGACTAACAATAACAGCTAGCACTTATTGAACCTTCATCAAAGGCCAGGCCCCCACTGGATTAAGAAATTTACATGTATTATCTTCTTAGGACTTCCCCATAATCCTATAGGCAACATCAGGACACAATTTGCAAAGCCCCTTATTCAAAAATTATTAATTTCAATATGGTGACAGCAGAGAATTAAACCAAGTGAGGGGCCAGCCTTTCTAAGTACCTGTGTAACTGGGCAGGTCTTGTACCCATAAACCAATCTGGCTATTATCTCCATTTTACAGATGAGGAAATGGACAGAAAGGCATCAAATAAATATTTCCAAGATCACACTATGAGTAGCAAAGATACCATGTGCACAACCTTAGCTGGAGAAGGCTTTGTTGCAATCTCTGTGTTTACAAAGCTCGCCAGTCCTTCTAGGTTCAGCTGAAACCCTTTGTCTACTAAGTGTTCTCATCAATGAGCCAGGGAAAAATTCTGTTTCCTCTAAAATTTCAGCACCATGACAGCATTTGGTTTGTACGTTTCTTATGGCCTTTATCACATTCCCATGTTATACCTGGAATGCCCTGGGAGGTGGAGGTGTGGGGTTGCCCAATAAATTAATGTAGTTGAACATATTAACAAGAGTACAACTTGAAGATACAGAGGGACAAGGAGGGAATTCCAGGCAGGGACAGGCGTAGCACAGTGATGAGCACTTCTGCAGGATAGAGAGATATGGTTGGCCTGATTGGACCAAAGGTACATGGAGAGACTAATGTGGGTAACACTGAAAAGAGGGCAAAGCAAGTGATAAAGCATTTTTAACAAAGCTAGACAGTCACTTCTGCAGTCCTTTAGGGCACGCTGCATGTTTAGTTATGCGTGCTTTATCCTTTCACATATGTTTGAGCACCTACTATGTGTGAAGCACAATTTCAAGCAACAAACAAGACAGACAAGATTCCTTGCTCTCATGGAACTTGCATTCTAGTGGGGGTGGGGACATACAGCAAAAAAAGGTAATTTTAGTATTGAAAGGTGTTCTTAAGATAATCAAATAGGGTCCTGTCATAATAAACATAGTGGAAACGACCTTGGGGTGATCGGGGAAGGCCTCTCTGAAGTACATCTGTAGTGAGATAGGAATAATGGAAAGAAACGACTGGGAGAAGAGTGTTCAGGCAGAAGGAACAGCAAATGGTAACTAAGGTCCTGAGACTCACACATTATGGTATGTTCAAGGAACAGAAAGTTGGAGCCTGGTGAGCAAAGGGAAGGGCTGGGGGAGAGGAAAGAATTGTTTTATCATAGTAGTATTTCTGCTTCTGGGAGCTGAAGATGAAAGTTTTGGAGATGCTTTCTGTCTTCTAAATTACTTGGAAAAGTGTTGTGTGGAAAGTCAGGAAAAGGCAATGAAGTCCGCCCATTACTAAGTAGGGGGCACTCAAACCTCCAGATGTCCTGGGAACCTCCATTTTTCCCTGTTCACGGCTAATGGGGCAAAGGTTTGACCTCCCCCTCCCTGGACATCTTTCAGCTTTGCTCAGAAGCAAAGAGCATCCAGTCACAGCCTGACTGCTTCTGCCTCGCAGCCAGTCTTCTCACACATATGCATTATGTGCGTGTGTGCGCCGGTGCGCGGGTGTGCGTGCGTCTTCAGGGGAGCAGGGGCTGGGAGGAGACTCACCAGCTGATCTCATCACTCTGAATTCACTTGCTTAACAGATGCTGATGAGCACGTCCCAGCACAAGGCCCCCCTGGAGCAGCACTTCACAGGGAGGCTCCTGTTCATGCTTTGGACCACCTAATGGTGCAGCAGAGGTTCTCCCATTTCCTATCTCCTAAAGGTTAAGTAACTTGTTCAGGATCATATGGCAGAAGTGGCAGAGTTAAACTGAAATCCAGTTTTTCTCTTCAATTTCAGAATTTGTTCACTGGACATGAATATCCTGATATTCAAGAAGTTATAGCAAATACTGTATCAAAACTCCAAACTCCATACAAACCTCAAGAAATACAACTTGAAGCTACTGCGTAACTCTCCCCATTCTAGTAAACCATGTGGCCTCCAATTCCTCCTACTCAGGGGAACAATACAAACAGCTTCCCCATCCATTCCCAAGTGCAAGCCAGAAATCTAGTAGGCACCAGTGACACTTCCCCTTCTTCCAATCAATTACCAAGTTCAACTAATGTTGACATCTTTTTCTATTTCCACTATTACTTCTACCATTCTCCTTTCTACAAGTGCCACTTCTTATCTGGATTACTGCACTGGTCTCCCTGCATTTGTTTTCCCTCTTTCCAGTTTAATCTCCATATTATAACCACCAACTTCTTAAAGCCTTTAAATAGCTGCCCTTTGCTCTTAGGATATAGAAAAGTCATCTGCATGGCATGCAAGGTATCATATGATCTTTTCCCTACTCAACGCTTCAGCTTAATCTCAATCCCTCGTTCTCTTGTTTCCGGGGCACTGGTCTTCTGGCATTTCCTTGTAATCTCCAAGGTCCCTCCCAACTTGCACATGCTGTTCTTCATCTGAATAACTCTTTTCCGTTTCTCAGGTAAGCTTCCCTGAGCCCCATAACTGGGTCATTCCTTCGCATGTAACTTTTAGAACTTTACATTTGTTTGTGAGGTTAAATGATTAAAGTTTTTCCTCCCTAATGGGCCAAGGACTAAGCATTCATATAGTATAAAATAATGCAAAATATATAATAGCATATATAGCATATATAACATGCCAGGCAGTATTCCTAGCATTTGACACATATTAGCTTGCTCAAGACCTCCCAAAAGCCTGAGGTAGGTAGTTATTAACCCCACTTTACATACAGGCAAAGTAAGACACACAAGCTAAGAAGTGGCAGAACTGGAATATGAACTCAGGCAGTTTCTGAGTCTGTGTATTAAACACATATTATGGTGCCTCATTAGCACCTGCTGAATGCAGGATAGCATTCAGTGCTTTTGACAGGGACTATACAGCACCAGCAGTAACCTAGTTCTTAACTAAAAACTCATTTCACTTGGGTTTTGGTGATCTTGGTTGACTGAAACTTTGCAGCAAAACATTTATCTTCCCAGCATTTTATTCCAACTACTTTAAAAATCCATCTGCCCTCACAGATATTATCATGACTGATGTTAGGCAAACTGCTAGAGGGCAGAAGAAAGTTGGCTTAAAGTCAAAATCATGGCTCATTTGTAGTGTGCGTAATCCAGGTTATGGACAACTCAAAGATTTTCATGGATGTCATCTCACTTGACTTTCATTGATTCCTAATAAAGTTACACACACACCCGAGGCACTTTTCCTCAGTTAACAGATGAAGCAAAAGGCTGGAGTTCGGAGGATTGCCAAACCATAGGAAATCAACTAGTCATAGTATGGGGTGAGGAATGGTGTTCCCACAGTTCCAGGAAACCAGAAAGAGATCTCTAGCAGAGGACCTCTTCTTTCTAAGGATTAAAGATAGCCAACCAACCTTTCCTAATTCGTGGGTGGAACCTCTGAGGGGACAGAGCTCCTCCTAGGTTTTCCCAGTATGGCTACAGTCTCAAGCTACATAGTAAGAGTTCTGTTGGCTAGCTACAGTCAATTAACCATAGACCAATATGGTGAAAAGATGTAATTCTTCACTTGAAGTCCATGTACCAATGTCAGGGGAAGACAAGAAACTGTACATTTTCTTTATGTGCATTTTGCTGAGGAAAAGCTTTCATTAGTTTCTCCCAGGACTTAGAACTAAAAAAAGGCTAAGAACCATGATCCTTTATGCCTGTACACACATTCTTTCTGATCACGGTCGTGCCTTTACAGGGACACATTCGCAGGATTTAAGATTTCTATTCTTTCAAGTACCTGGCAGCTATGGATGGGAATCTAAGAGGAATCCAAATGCCCACCCAACGTGAGTTAGACGTTATAACCGCACCTATAAAAAGGTCTAAAGAAATTACATTCGCGTTCGCCTCCTTGGAGGGGGCTGGCTGCATGGAAGGCCAAGAGCGCTTAAGTCCAGTCCCGACCAGGCCACTAACCGGCTGTGTAAACCTTAGGTTGCATACCCTTTCTAGGCTTCAGTTTCCAGATCTGCAAATTGGAAGTTGAACCGCACGGTCTTCAGGGTACTTCTCTGCCGAGAGCTTCGTACAAAGTAGGCCTAGCCATTAAAGCAGCTTCCTGTGGATGCGGTGCTGGGCTTTAATGGTCCCCCACCCCGGCTTGGACCCGCGAAACCCTCTTCGGCACGCCTCTCCAAGTGACGGCGCTTCCCAAACCGCAGCCCGAAATCGGCTCCGCCCCGTCCCGGGGGCGTCCCATCGTGCCCTGCGCCGGGCGCCTAAAGCGGTGGGGCACCTCCCGCCTTTCCGCTGCTTCGACCCCGGACTCTCTCCCCAGTTCTCCCAGGCGCCCCATCCTATCAACGTCTAGTATCCCAGCCAATCACGCGGGCCCGGAGTCTCGCTTTAGGCCCACCCTCCTGCCAACCCTCAGCCGGTCTGGGCTCGAGGCCTTTACCAGGATGATCCAATCAGCGGCGGCTCTCTCCAGCCTACCCCAATCTCCCTCCCTCCGGCCAATCCACGCGCCTCATTTTGCTGCCCGCCCAGCCAACCCGGGCCTTGAAACCAGCGGGCGAATAGGCGCAGGGCAGCCCTTCAACGCTGACTGCCTGGCCAATTGGGGATTTCGCGTGGCCATGGCGGCAGCCAATCGATGTGGTGCGCGGTGCCGCCGCGGAGAGGTCCGGCCCGAATATCCCTCCGCCTTCTTCCCTCCCCCTCTCTCTCTCTCACCCTCCCTGCGATCCGCCGTTCACCTACCGCCTCCCTTCCTTCTTTCTCCCTCCGCCACTCGAGCACCAGCCGCGCTCTGAACTGCCCCCGGGGTCCCTCCCCCGCCGCCAGAGGAGCAGCCGCCGCCGCCGCCAACAGCAAATTAGGAGGGAGGAAGGAAGGAAAGAGCCGGAGCGACTACCAAGAGGGAGCCAGTGAATGGGCTTGTGGTGACCCTCGCCCCCCACCCCACCCTCCCTTCCCACCCGACCCCCAGCCCCCATCCCCAGTGGAGCCGCCGCCCCAGAACCAGAACCGTCATCTTAGGAGGAGTCGCCGCCACCACCTCCGCCATGGAGCTGATCACCATCCTCGAGAAGACCGTGTCTCCCGGTAGGACGCGGGGGCCGGGGGTCGGGCTTAGGTGATTGGGTGGGGGGAGGGGAAGCCCTGGTCCCTCTGACCCTGTCCGTCTCCCACTTTCCTTCCCCCCAGATCGGCTGGAACTGGAAGCAGCGCAGAAGTTCCTAGAGCGTGCGGCTGTGGAGAACCTGGTACGTACCACCCCGTCGTCCCCCATCCCTCGGTCTCCCCATCCCTGGTGTGCAGGCCTTCCCGCCCTCCTGGAGGCCCAGGCCTCGGGAACCCACCCCGCCCCATCCCGTCCTCCCCCCCACCCCCAGTCCAACCTAACCCCGCCATCGGGAAGCCGGTGGGTGTGTCCCGCCCCGGGCCCGGCAGCTAGCCAATGGTGCGGCGCGCCGGGGTGATTGCCGCCCAATCGTCGCGCGGCCTGAGGGCGGCGGTGCAGCGAGAGGGAGAAAGAAGGAGGGAAAGGAGGTTAGGTTGCACCGCGCTGCGTGTTCAGCAAGGGTGGGGGTGGGGGAGCCGGGCCTAGGGGCCATGTGGAAGCTCTGAGCCCAGCCGCCTACCCAGCTCCGACCGTTCCCGGCTTCTCCTTCCTGTCCCGTGGCCCCTGTGATTCTCTTCACCTACTTCCCAGAGCGCTGCCCTATCTCTCTTGGTCTGTACTCTTGGCCAGGCCCGGTATCCAAATGATTCTTAATCCATTTCAGCAATATTTCTATCCTGCCTGGTTATTGCTCTCCCAGGGTTTTTTTGTTTTTTTTTCATTTGGATGCGTAAAGACTTAATCTGTGCCTAGACAACAGGCTGAAGTGCATCCTTAAGATCGGGTCTGTTTCCAGGTGAAATCACAGAGGAAAGTTACTCGTTTTTCGTAATTTCAATTTAAAGGGTACAGAAAAAAATGAAGATAAGTCTGCTAGAGACTGGATTTCTATATAAAAATGTGGAACGGATTGTTTGAAACAGTCTGTGTGCCAGGAATGTTTGTCTTCTAATGTTGGGGGAAGGGTGGATGATACTTGACATCTTGTAAAGGTAGTAGGTAATGTCTAAAACTGTAACCAAATGTGTCCCTTAATCTAGGCAAAATAATCTAAGCCAAAGAAAAGTGACAAGGCTTATTTTATACAAACTGCCTTTGAATGATTTATTGGCCCTTACGTGTTTTAAGTTTTCATTACGGACCTTTATATCCTTAACTTTCTATAGAAAATATTTTTTCCACTGGTATGTAAAAATTTCCATTTAGGATATATTCCTGTTTCTGCTTTTGCTAATTTTCAAGAGGCTTTTTTATCTTACTAACATTTTATATTGTTCCTAACATTCTTTAGTGGTATGTAATTACTAAAGCTTTTAAGAATTATCATCTGTGACTGCAGAAACTATCTGTTTTTGGTTTTTCCTGTTAACTTTTCTACTTAGAGCTTTTTGCAGGGAAGAGGAGTGTTAAAATTTTTAAAGGGAGTAGTCTTGGGACTCATGCATTACAAAAGATTGGGTGTGCTTTTCAAGAACCCACTGTGTTTAGTGGACATATCAAGTCTGAAATGTAGAGGAGCCTGTAGTGTGTTAGCTGTTAGCTATTAAAACACTTTTCTTGACATTTTTATCTTTTCCGTTTTCCCCTGTTTCTAAATACTATAAAATTTTCCTTATAAATCTGCTTTTTTCATTGTTCCCTTTTTGCTGAACACTTAGAATAGAGGGGATTAGCGTCCTAAGTTTGTTTTACGTTTGTAAGTATTTCCTTCTCTTATACAAGGAGTATCATTCTTTTTGGACTGAGATTTTTTTTAATTTAGAAAAACAATTTTACTTTGTACCTTGTCATAATGTATCATATAACAAATATTTACTGAGTACCAGCCACTCTTCTAGGTACATAGAAGAATCCTTTGATTACCAGATTGTCAAATTCGCTTTGATTCTGGGGGACTAATGTGAAGATTTAGCCACTTAGAAAGATGTTGATAGGAAAGTCTGTAGCTCTTTGTTACATGCTAAGCCTGCATGAGAAGATGGGTGACTTTCTTATGTACCGAGTAACATTTTTATAGGAGTCTTGAGGTAGCTGTTTCGGTATTTTCTGAGATGTTATGATATATCCTAAAAATTTTCGGTTTTCCCCAGTGTTTTGGTGTTCCATAAGCTATCCTCAGTTGGTGAAATTCCCAAGGTACTTTGATTCACAACTGTGTCTTCTCTTAACAGCCCACTTTCCTTGTGGAACTGTCCAGAGTGCTGGCAAATCCAGGAAACAGTCAGGTTGCCAGAGTTGCAGCTGGTTTACAAATCAAGAACTCTCTGACATCTAAAGATCCAGATATCAAGGCACAATATCAGCAGAGATGGCTTGCTATTGATGCTAATGCTCGACGGGAAGTCAAGAATTATGTGAGTAACTTCCATCTGTTTTGGTCATATTAGCCTAGGGAACAAGAAACATCATTGTCACTTCCTTTGTCATTTACAGGGATTGAACCAACAGTATAATTAGCTTTCTGGAACTTAAACTTCACCTGAAGATAAAAACTATTTGGTTAAAATCTTCTTTCTCAGTCAAGCTTATCTGTTCTCATTAATGCATTGGAATTATTTTCAGTTAACTAAGGTAGACTGTGGCAGTTTGGGAACCTTTAAACAAATTAGGTACCAGAATTTGTAGAATTTTGTGAATTGGCATAGTATAAAAATTGATGGTTCCCAAACTTAGACTACTAGAATCATAGGAAATTTGTTAATAATATGTATTTCCAGGTTCCTTTCAGAGATTCTGGTTTGGAGTGGGGTCCAAATAATTTTTCTTAAATTAATCTTCTCAAGTGATTCTTTCATAGCCAACCAGCACCTCGCTCTTATTAAACTTCTGCTGTAGGTCATTCTCATCATTTGGTGGTTTAGACTTGGCAGCACTATGTGGTGTAAGAAGGGGAACTAAATGATCCCTTGGGCTTTTCAAGCCCAAAGAGTTTGTGAAATAAGTTTATAACATTAATGGTGTTTCTGTCTACCCTAGCAAATGTGAAGAACTTCCTCAGAAACATTGGGCTTTTTTTAGCAAGGTGTTCAAAGAGTAGACTGATGAAATTTAAGGAAAGAATGTCCCTTGCTCTGCATGATGGAGTTCTTGTGACTTTATTACTGAATTAGAGATCCTAATTCTAGCTGCAGCAAAGGATACTGGATAGGCAGATGTGGGTGTTTTTTGTTTGTTTTCCCATTCATGAGGTTCTTACAACTGGCCTGTCTTACGTGGATAAGGCACAGAAGGTATAGGTAAGCATCTGTGGAGTCATCAGTTGACTCTTGGAATTGGAGGGGAGAACAGTGCAGGCATTCATGTGTGCTTGGTGCAGGTCATGTTATGCACATTAGATTTGTTGTTTCCTGGTTCTGGGGGTCAGCAGTAGGTAAATAAGTGCCCCTTAAAGCAGTGACCTCTCTATTATGTACCTCCTTTCCTCTGCAGTCTTGCATGGAGGTACTCATGCCAAGGAACTAGGTTATGAAAGCAATATTTTGAATCTTTGGGATATGTAGAGCTATTTCTATCCACAGTGGGTCTGCTTATGTAATATTTTTAATCTTCTCCTCAATAATTTGTTATAAATAAAGTTTATTCCATCAGTCACTGGAAATCTTTATGCTTATAGTGCCCATTCAATTTCTCATCTTCCTCAAATTACACAGTAGTAAATGAGAGAAGATATGATTAGGAACTCTAATTCATCCTTTTTTCCGGCATGTCATTCAACACCAACATTTTTTTTTTTAGTATGGATAAGAATTTATATAGGCATTGTTGAGTCCTTGGGCATGAAAAACATTTAGCAGTCATCTTTTTTCCCTGCTATAGCACATCTGGTAATTAAGATTATCTGTACTAGTGGTTATTTCTTTTTTGCAGTCTTCATCCTGGGCACAATTGAGAGCTAGTTTCTTACTCCTCTTATTTCTGATAATTGAGTATTACTATTTGAGTCGCCCCTAGTTAAAAAAAAAAGTTTCAGTACTCAGGAGTTAGAATTTGTGGCCTATAAATCACCTCAAGTAATATTAATTGAGAGTCTTTTAGACATAATTTAAAGGAGAAAAGAGAAAGGTAAATAGATTATAGCATTCTCCACGTAAGTACTAGGAAGTGGTAGAGTATAGCATAAAGGCACCCTGGACTCTTAGTCGAACTTGGGTTAAGTTAATACCTCTTTAGCCCCTGCCATTCCAGACAATTCATCTCATCATTCTCCTCACCCTGCCGCCCCCCACCCCATGTATTTGATGTACATTTTTTGTTAAGTCTGTTCTAGTTTTGGTAGCTATCATTTAGAATCAATCAGAAATGTGTGTTACTGCATAGAGCTATTGGGATGGGGGCTGGCAGGAATGATGATATACTGTATGAGGGGGAAAGCCGGGGCATTCATTATTAGCTACAAAGCAGGATACTAAGTGACCTGACCCAGTCAGCAGAGCTGGCCTGAATATCTGGCAGCTACTCTTTGTCCTGTGTTCATGCCAGTAGCAGTTAACTGTTTGCCTTTTGAGTGGGCTGGTGAGTCTTAGTGAATTCATTGATTGAATTAGCTGATCGTGGTAATGATTAACCCTGGGTCAATTGTCGCTTAATCCATAATCTGTACCTGTTCCTTTTACCCTTTACAAAAAATGCTTACCATTTCAAACAAGACAATGGTAAGTGGATCTCATTTTAATTGGCATATCTGACTAGTTCTTGCTGTTGTTGATGGAGAGAAGGGTTCTTTGATTCTTGGGCAAACAGAAGGAATCCTTTCAGACTGGAAGTTTAATAAGGATTATTAAATAATTGGTAACATCAGTAACTTTGTAATCTGCATCTAGAGATGTTACTTGACCAAGATCTTCTATGAAAGTTACCTAGGGTGCTAAACTGTCAATGACCAGAAGGAAGAAGGTCCATTCCACATTTCGTGAGTGGGAGGATGTCTTCCTTGAATCAGGTTAGACAATGATCTACTATGATGTCAGACTCACTTGAATGCCCCAGAGTTAACCGCATTCTAAAATTCCATACACTCTATCTACAAAACAAGGCTGTGAGCATCTTTCACCAAGGATCCTAAAAGGTGAATTTTGTCATCTCTACCTTTTAATGCTATTTCCCCTGTAAGTGCTACCTTCTTACCTAGTGTTGAACACTGAAGTGAGGGGTCTAGCTTTGGAGAATTCCATTTGGACATAGGGGATGGGTGGTTTCATTTCTAGGCTCTGGTGCAACATTGATTGTGGTGGTGTTGGTATTGAGGCTGGCAATTTTTCAACAGCTGACTGTACTATATATGCCTTAGAACTACTTTTTTTCTGTGTTACAGAAAATTTAGTCAGTGATAACAAGAGGTGTAGTGGTACGTAATTGTGTTCAAAGAGTATTAGGAATTAAATCTTTCCTCTTGTTTTTTTTTTGTGTGTGTGTATGTGTGTATGCAGGTTTTGCAGACTTTGGGCACAGAAACTTACCGGCCTAGTTCTGCCTCACAGTGTGTGGCTGGTATTGCTTGTGCAGAGATCCCAGTGAACCAGTGGCCAGAACTCATTCCTCAGCTGGTAGCCAATGTCACAAACCCCAACAGCACAGAGCACATGAAAGAGTCGACATTGGAAGCTATTGGTTACATTTGCCAAGATATAGTAAGTGCTGCCTGTGGTATATCTACCTTGTATACCTCATATCTCTGATTCTCTCTAGTTGCAACATGCATGCTATTAGGATTATTATTTACTGTGTCATGTAGAAAACCAAGCTACTGAAGAGTGCTTTGAAAGTAGGATTACTTTATTTGTTAATTTAGACTCTTATATTTGGATAGTTAACTTATCCTCACATTTCTAATCATGCCCTAAAGTAAAGGGACTTGAGAGTCACAAACTCCAAAAGGAAATCCGTGTTTGTAGAGGTGTAGATTCTAGACTTTTAAAAGAGGGTATTCTCTGTCTTGGAGTGTCCCTGATCTGATCCCTTTTGCAAGGTCCTCTGTGTGTCATGCATGCTATGTTATTTTTTCATCTACTGTTTTACAGAAACAGGTCGCTAACTTGCTGTAGCTTGTTTAACCACTGGTACTACAGCACAATTAAAAGCAACCTCCTAAGACTGTCGATGCTAAAGTTACTGCTCTCTGTGGCTGTTCTGTGCACTGATGTGATGAAGCAAAGAAGTCACAGCATTTGACCTGGACTTAGACTTCCTAGATGTTGTGCCCAAGTGTTGATTGTTGGCCTCAGATGTTCTGAAGCCTTACTTCAGTTGGCACAGATGGCCTAAAAAATATATATAGACTGCCATCTCCATTTGCACAGAAAAGAAAAGCCAGCATTATCTCATGTGCAGAGACATCATAACTAAGAAGTGTGAGATGAAGTTGATGAGTTGAACTTGTTTCAATTGAGTTTTGAACTACCAGCTCCTGGGATATTTTGTGTGTGGTTTGTCCCTAAATGGAAATGTATGGAAAAAGATCAGAGAAGGTCATGATACTCACTCAAGCAGATTTTACAGTTTAAAGGACTGTAATAAGCCCATTATATTCATTGCACTTCTTTGCTTGTTGCAGGACCCAGAGCAGCTACAGGATAAATCCAATGAGATTCTGACTGCCATAATCCAGGGGATGAGGAAAGAAGAGCCTAGTAATAATGTGAAGCTAGCAGCTACTAATGCACTCCTGAACTCATTGGAGTTCACCAAAGCAAACTTTGACAAAGAGGTATGTTTCTTTTAGCAAAAAGGTATAACTTCAATGGTGAGTTAAACAAAAGGTGTTTTTTCTTTTAAGTTTATGGTTTAGAAAGTGCCATCTTATTAGAAGTAATCATTACCATTCTAGTTCAGATTTGTGTTGTGGGAACAAACATAGCCATGAAGTAGGTGTTTGCCGTTTCTCATCAGGCTTTGGGGAATAAATAATGTGCTCTAAAGTGTTTCTGAGCTTAGGTTTTTCCTTTTGCAGCCCAAGGTATGGGTACAATTTAGAATTTTTTAAAAAAGTAATAGAAAGTGGGCCGCTTCATTCCTCCTTAGGAAGGTGCTTTGAAAGTTAGTACATAAAGTTTGTTTTGCCTCAAAGTATTTTCCCCTATTCTCTATTTATAGCTGTTAAAATACACAAAAACATAAATTTTACCATCTTAACTAGTTTTAAGTGTACAGTTCAATAGCATTAAGTGTATTCACTTGGTTTTGCAGCCAAATCTCAAAATTTCATCTTGCAAAACCAAAACTCAGTATCCTTCGAACAACTCTTTTTCCCTTCCCAGGAAACCACTTTTCTACTTTGTTTCAAAGAGTTTGATTACTCTGGATACCATATATAAGTGGAATAACACAGTATTGGTTTGTTTTTTCGTGACTGGCTTATTTTATGTAACAATGTTTTGGGCTCGTGCGTGTTGTAGCGTATGTCAGAATTTCTTTCCTTTTAGTGAGTAATAGGCTGAATAATATTCCGTTATATGTATATGCCACATTTTGTTTATCCATTCACCTGTAAAGACATTGAGGTTGCTTCCTTCCACCTTCTGGCTATTGTGAATAATGCTATTATTAGCCTGTGTGCACAAATACATCTGAGACCCTGCTTTCAATACTTCTGCATATATGCCCAGAAGTGGAATTACTGGCTTATATGGTCTAAAAGTACTTTTTTATGTACGTTGACATTTCAGCTGGGCTTTTGCCATTTCTTGGCCTTTAGTGGACAAAGTAGGAATGTCTTAAGAAGCTAAAGCAAACTGCAATTCAATTGCTCAGAGAATAGTCTTCTTCCTTTTAGATATCAGAATGGTTCAGATGGCAGCAAATAAAGCTCATTACTCTTCTCCAGCGTCTTATTTGGTGTGGATTTGCCACTTCCCAAATAAAAACATTTTGTCTCAAATAAAACAGGTCTTTTGAATTCTTTTGAATTTTCAATACAAGGAAATGGATTTTCTAATGTAGGGTTTTGTTTTGTTTTTTAACTGACCTTTTTTATTTAAACCCTGTGAACTACATTTTCCTGTCTATACTTTCTCCCTGGAGTCTTGTTAGTGAAGGTCATTTTAGGGATTCAGAGATTAGGGACCACCTTAGAGGGCAGGTCATATAGTAGGCATGGGGGGAAAACTCTAGCCTTCATAGTGACATTATTGTGTCTTGGAAGAGCTGCTTGGTTGGCCCAGGGTTGTCTGGGTCCCTGAAGGAGTGAGGTTTTCCTTGAAAGGGATAGTCTCACAGTCTTAATATTTATCGTCTATACTCTTCTAATTGTCTTTATTTTTATTTTTCCTACAGTCTGAAAGGCACTTTATTATGCAGGTGGTCTGTGAAGCCACACAGTGTCCAGATACGAGGGTAAGTGTGAGGTCAAATGAAAGACCTACCTTCCATCTCCCCTAGGAAATGCCAGTGCTAGCATAGTAGTTTGAAATGTTGGAGACCAGGTGACTTCAGAAATAAGGTCTGACTAATACTGATCTTAAGAATTTTTCTCTAACATCTTAGAGAAGAAGGAAGAACAGTACTTAGAAAGTCAGTATAATGGAAGTTGTCATCCTCTTAAAAACATTTAAGGGAGAAACGGTTTTTGATCACCCTTGGCTACCTGACTGCCCTAGTTTATTCTTGTAGCTACTGACACAGCTCTGCTGTTGCTCCAGCCTAAACCTTGACCCTTGAAGTAGGTGGAGTAACATCCTGTCCAGCTGGCATTCGTGAGTTTAGTCCTGCCGTGGGATCCACAGGCACCATTAAAGCATAAAGAGAAAAGGAGAAATAAATAGGAAAGGATACTGAAGAAAAGAGGGAGAGATTGATTTGTGGGGAATGATAACATCACCTGAATGTGCCATGATTGAACCTTTATTGACCCTCTTGAGTGATTACTTACATTGTCTGATTGTACTGTTATTACCTTAAACAGTAAACTAATTTGCTATTTATAAAAGGTACGAGTGGCTGCCTTACAGAATCTGGTGAAGATAATGTCCTTGTATTATCAGTATATGGAGACATATATGGGTCCTGCTCTTTTTGCAGTAAGTATTTTTATTTTATGTATTCAAGTATGTAGCTAATTGCAAAGCCTATCATTTCTGATGTTCTTCAGTTCTGCAGTTTCTTAGTTAATATTATAAAATCAAGGAAATTCCTTGAGTCTGAGTGTTGTGTTTAAATTCCTTGGTTGTATGCCAAGAAAACTTGTGCTGGTAAAAAGAGTATTTAAAAATTTTTTTCTTTTCTACCTTTCATTTCAGATCTAGCTCTCATAAATCTATGTTTTTGAAATTTGAATGTGTTAGAGGAGGGTTCTGACTTAAGCGAGCTCTTATTTGGGGACTGTGGTGTCTTTTTTTTTTTTCTCCGAAGATCACAATTGAAGCAATGAAAAGTGACATTGATGAGGTGGCCCTACAAGGGATAGAATTCTGGTCCAATGTCTGTGATGAGGAAATGGATTTGGCCATTGAGGCTTCAGAGGTGAGCCTGGGAGAGAGTCTATATGGCGGTTAGAGCTGTTACTCTGACAGGGCTTTGAGGGTATCTCCATTTGGGGGTTTTGGTGTTTTTTTTCACTAGCCAAAGGCCCTGATAAGAGAAAGATCAGTAATGAGGCATCTCATGTTTTTGCCAAATCAGTTGGGCGTAATATATTGTAAATACTGATTTTAGTACTGTGAACACAAGAGGGCAGCAAATAGTCACAATTTAATGAGATGATACCTGATGCTGAATTGCTTTTGGAAGCCCTCATGTAACGTAAGCATGGGGTGTATAATTGGTAGTTTATTAAGCCTGGTGAAGGAATTAGATGTGGAAAAGGGGTTAACTCTACACTTGGAATCTTTGAATTCAAGCTTTGTTTCCAACTGTGATTATCTTGTGGAATTCAAGAAACAATCTTATTTTTGGCATCCTTAGGTAGACTTCATCTCTCCATCCAAAGGTCACTTAAGTGACAGCTTGTTAATGCAAATTGAGCTTACGAAAAAAGAATGAAATTCTTAAGGTTACCTTGGTCCTTTAAGGTAGGTTATATGTGTGGCCTAAAAGAAGCTCATTGAAGTAGACCAAAAAGTGAGCTCCTCCAAAGATCACAGAGAATGTTAGCATTTGCTCCATGTATTTCAGTACAGACCCCTGGGCAGCTCTCTTTGTTTGCCTTTAGTATCAGCTTGTTTGCAGCTGTCCAGAATTTGCTTTATGTGTCTCTTCAGGCAGCAGAACAAGGTCGGCCCCCTGAGCACACCAGCAAGTTTTATGCTAAGGGAGCATTACAGTACCTCGTTCCTATCCTCACGCAGACACTGACTAAACAGGTAAGTTAACTTCCAGATTTAACCAGGTAAGCTATGAAACCTTGCTAGGCTGGACTTGCTGTGGAACACTTCGCATGAAGGAACCCAGTAACCTTTCAACTAGATGAAGTTCTGTTATAGATGGCTTGAAACAGCTGAGCCAGATCAGTAAGATTGCTGGGCTCTGAGTTGTTTGTGAAGCAGTGAACATTTTGGTCTTGATTGGGAATGAGGCACATATACTTCTTTGATTTCCTGAGTGCTCCATTATCCAAACCAATACAAGAGACATGCTGTAAAAGTTGCAATAAAGAAAGGTTAGGAAGAAGAATATGCTTGTTTTAGGCCACTCAAACATCTGCTAATATCTGGGATATTTTCATGAGTTCATGGTATATATTTACTTTCAAAATGCTGATTGAGGTTGAGCTGTTCAGATCCTAATGAAAGACTCCAGTCCATGAAAGAAACTTGTGATCCTTCATGATCATTAATAAAGTAAAGGTAACAAGGTCTTACGAAGATGTGGGTCTAATTACTAAGTACAGAAATTCGTAGGAAGTGTGTCCTGGTTGCCAGTGCTCCCTTTTGACTTTATGCATCATCAGTTTTTCATGGTATGGTGTTAGGAAGTCTGTTACCTTCTCTTCTGGGGCACATGAAATACAACGAAGAAGCTGGTGGTGCTGAGGAAACACTGCTGTAACTTGAGCGCTGCAAAATTTCTTTGTACATAGGAGTGTAACTTGTTTTTAGAAAAGTACATGACTTTGAATATGGCAGTCTCAAGATAAGTAGAGTATATTTGGTTTGAAATGGACTGGTTTGTTTTCTTAAATTTTTATCTCTCAGTTTCATAGTTGCTTTTTTTTTTTTTTTTATCTTTTGACCTTAGTATCTTTGCTTTTGTGTAGTTTGGTTGTGCTTTCCTTGCTTGGGAACAAATCATTCTTGAGATACATAATTTTCTGCAACTGCATAGACAACCTGCCTTCCATTACTCTCTGGTTCAAATGGCCACATAAGGAAGATATACCTTGAATTCCAGTTTCAGGGGAGGTCTGAATAGAATCTTTTTTGTTTAAGTTTTTATTGAAATAGAACAATGACTAGCACACCAGAATCCACTTCATGTTCCTAGTCATTAACTCCCTCACCTTTAAGTTCACAGATAAGTTTTGATTGGTTTTGAACTTTATGTAACTAGAATCACATAGTATATAACTTTGTTCTGCCTTTCACTGTATGTGTATGAGACTCATCATCCTTGTGGCATGTGCTTACGGATTGGTCATCTCCTTGTATAATGCTAAGGGGGGTTTCCCCCATCTGCATTTTTGTTTAACAAAGGTTGTGGGGCGGATCTTTGTGGACGAGATTAAAATACAAAGGTTTTATCTTTTATTTACTTCCCCAGTGCTTAAGTTCCAGTGACGGGTTGGGAATAGTCAGAGGACCTTTTGTGTTAAAGTGATTCTTTGAACAGAAACTTAACTAGAGCCACATTCCTTCGCCAGGATGAAAACGATGACGATGATGACTGGAACCCCTGCAAAGCAGCAGGAGTGTGCCTCATGCTTCTCGCCACCTGCTGTGAAGATGACATCGTCCCACATGTCCTCCCCTTCATTAAAGAACACATCAAGAACCCCGATTGGCGGTACCGGGATGCAGCAGTGATGGCTTTTGGCTGTATCTTGGAAGGACCAGAGCCAAATCAGCTCAAACCATTAGTTATACAGGTGAAGCTGAGGGAGTTTGGGGGTGGAAAGTGGTATATTTATTGTTTAAAGTATTTGCTTGAAAGTACGCCTTTATCTTTAAAAAAAAGCTGTAAGTAGTCATCCACAAAGGGTATTTCTAGCTATTTGTTCTCAATGAAGGATCAGATATGTTTAACTTTTTTCAATTACAAAAGTTATTTGACTTTTGAAAAGGCCAGAAAAGAAAAAGGCAGTCACCTTTAATCACATTGCCCAGAGATAACATTATTAACTCCTGGTATTTATCCTTGCAGCTTCTTTCTGTGTGTATGTATGTACATACACATGGATGGAGAGCTTACTGTGCAGATCTTCTTATAACCTGTTTTTCCACTTAATGTTCTATCATAAACATTTCCCCATAATTTTTAATAATGTAATTATTCTATCCTTAGGACAAGATGGCATTATGTAATGAAAAGTCTTAGGGAAATGTGTTTATTTCACTATTATAAATGATACAGTTGTTGATTAGAGTTGAGTTCAGTGCATGTAGAACACACCTGTCAGGATATAGTTAAATGCCATCACAGCTGCATCCCGGAATCTCTACCTGAGTAATTACATAAAGACTCCAGAAAGCATTTATACCAAACTCTTAAAATTCTGTACTGGGATTTGGTAGAGAGACTCTCACTGTTCACCTTACTTGGCTTTTATTATGTTGTTAGTATTTGAGGAACATGTCTTTTAAAGTGGCAAAACCATCTTGATGCTTTGAGTTAAAACCCAACCATTGGTATGTCCTCTGAGGAATCAGTCAGCATGAGTTCTAATCTTTGTTTTGCTTTGCTTATATAGCTGTTGTATTTTCAGGCAATGCCCACCCTAATAGAATTAATGAAAGACCCCAGTGTAGTTGTTCGAGATACAACTGCATGGACTGTGGGCAGAATTTGTGAACTGCTCCCCGAAGCTGCCATCAATGATGTCTACTTGACTCCCCTGCTGCAGTGTCTGATCGAGGGCCTCAGTGCTGAGCCCAGAGTGGCTTCAAATGTGTGCTGGGTAAGAGATTCTCTTCCTGGCCTGATAAGGAGCTTGGCCGAGCCATTGGCAAGGAAGTAGGAGGTATGGGAGAGGAATGGGTTTACCTCATTTCTGAATAGCATCTCCTTTCTAATTTATTCAATTAAAATGTGGGGGAGATGCCAAGTGCATGAACCAGTGGGAGCTGTTGACTCATGGTGACTGGTTCCTGAACCATTTAAAAGAGTCATGCCAACCCAGTGGGAAAACTGTCTGGACCTGGTTTTCTTTTTTCAGTTGCTCGGGGACAAGAAATTTTGATGAAGGTAGAGTTGCTGGCTACAAAAAGGACCTGCTGAGAAGGGGGCAGGGGGGAAGGAAGGTAGGCGGTCTAAGTACTGAGTCAGTATAGGCTGTGTCAGATTCATTGGAGACCTTTGGGGCATGGGGAGGAAGTTCAAATAAGGAAGGAGTGGGCTTAAAAGCATTTCTGTGAATGACAAGAGAAGAGTGAAGTGGCAGGCATTCGTGACAGGGAAAGTACACTGCTTCTTAGTTGTGGACATGTTACCAGGCAGGACAAACAAAATACAAACATTTAATTTTAAGGATGCTTCTAGAACATGAAGGTCTCTTGAGATGATCATGACACAAAAAATTGAGGATATACTTGCCTTTGATTTATTCTTACATGAGTTAGAAAGGACTACACCTAAGATATCTTAAGGAAAAAGGAGGTTCTTTTCCAGACTAATATGAACTCTGTCCGGGTTTAAGGCTTTCTCCAGTCTGGCTGAAGCTGCTTATGAAGCTGCAGATGTAGCTGATGATCAGGAAGAACCAGCTACCTATTGCTTATCTTCTTCTTTCGAACTTATAGTTCAGAAGCTCCTGGAGACCACAGACAGGTAACTAATACTGTGCAGAAATGGGGTATCTTTTCTCTCCAGCTCTTTTTGCTTTCTGTGTGGGACTCTGCCTAACATAATCATAGAAAATACTGCAAAAGAAGGAATTAAAAGAACCCAGCAGTAGATTATTTTATTAAATAAGAGAGAAAAGAAAGAAATGTAGATTATGTCTGCCTTAGGATTGTTTTGGTTTACAGTTAAAGTCAGAAAATAGTCTCATTTCTTTACTTACAAAGTGTAATCAAACTAGATAGTTCCCTTTATTTTGCAGTGTCTACAGTTACCTGGAGTATTTGATAATAAGTTAATAGCTCTCATTATGAACTTAGTTGCCACAACAGATCATGAACTAGTTTGTTGGATGTAGAACTTGACATTAAATACAGTTGTTTTATAAGTGAGCTTTTGAGTTGTAGTTTTAAGAGTTATAAATTAGGGAGTGCCTTTAATTATTTGGGTTTTGAATAGCTATACCTAAAGCTGTGCTCAAGAGAAACCATGAGAAAGAGGGCTGGGTATACATTTTTCCATGCTTAAATTAATAAATTAGTTCATCGCCACTTCTCTGTTGAAGTTGTATATGAAGGCTTCTCTTGCAGATGAGTGAAGGAAATTGAGAGATCTTGTTCTTAGCTATTCAGGCAGCCTGTTCAATTGCCCATGTGCATTCTTCAGCGTTTTTAGGCTACCTTTTTTCCCTGTAATTTTAGCCAATTTCCAGAAGAGCCATTCTGAAGTTTAACCAGTTCCAGAGACCCTAGTGAACATAGCCATTAGCTCACAGGGAGAAAATTTGGTTCCTGGCTGTCTGTATTGTGTTGCCAAACTCCAACTGGGTCTGCAGCCTTATCAGTTTCTGGGTTTGTATTTTCAGCAAGATAGTGTATACATTATAGTAACCTCCGTCCTTTCTCATTTGAGGCTCTTAAGATTTTTCTTGTGTGTTCCTTACAGGCCTGATGGACACCAGAACAACCTGAGGAGCTCTGCATATGAGTCTCTGATGGAAATTGTGAAAAACAGTGCCAAGGATTGTTACCCTGCGGTTCAGAAAACTACCCTGGTCATCATGGAGCGACTGCAGCAGGTGCTTCAGATGGAGGTGAGACTCCAGGCTTTCCTGCTATTGGTGGGAAGGGTTGTGGTGCTTCTGACTCATAGCTCTGTTTTCAAGGCTGTTCTCTTTTGTTGGTGTTAAGTATATATTTTCTCATAAAGATACTAGGTTTATACAAGAAATGTTTCAACTTAAGATTGGTATTGCCTGTCACAGTTTACTCGTGTGTTGGACCATATTGGTGTAAAAGTTGATTTCCTGTGTTAATATCAATAAAGATTATTTAACAGTCCTGGCAAACCCAGCAAAAATGGGAAGCATTGAGGGAGTTTGGACCTCATTTTAGAAGGTGTATATTCAGAACATGATCATCTTCTTTTCCTTGTAGTCACATATCCAGAGCACATCAGATAGGATCCAGTTCAATGACCTTCAGTCTTTACTCTGCGCAACTCTTCAGGTATGATGGTGCCTTGTCCCTTCATAGCTCCTTCTAGAAAGAGAATCCTGTCTCAGGATGACAAGTTCATGTTCACACAACTCTGTAGTGGTATTGATGATGCTTCTCAAAAGGCCTTGGCTGGATTGATTGGGAGGGTAATTTCCCATTTTCTTGTCTGTCTATAAAGAGGCAGTCTGTCCTTTGCTCAGTGTAAGGAAGGAAACCACTCAGTTTGTGATGGTCCTCCCAGCTGTACAGCTATTTTATGTTGGCCTCTTTTAGTCTTTGGTTTTCATTGAGTTGTTCAAGTGTAGCTCAGTCAGATCTAGTTCCCAACTGTGGTTAACTCTGAAAAATAATAGCCTTTAGTTTCTATCATCTTTTGAAACAACAGTTGCTGTTGGAAGATTTATTATAATTTACATTATTTATAAAGCACCTAATATTCATAGTGGCCTTTTCTGAGGACAGACTGGGAAAATTAAAATGTCACTCCTCATTACTGGAATCGTGGAGTAGCTGAGGATCTATTCCCTTTTTACCAAAAGACAGGAAAACCTTGGAACTTCTATCATGCTTAAGTGGGGTACTAGGTTTTAATATGGAATGATGCTAACTAGTTCACCTTCTCTGTGAACTCCTCCTCTGTTTTACTCCAAACTAAATTTTTTAAAACTGTTAAGTCTTAGTTATCAAAACAAAGGAATGATCCAGTAACATTAGTTGAAACAGTTAAAGGGTAAGGAGGTTTGAGGAATACTTAATTAGGACAAATAGTGAATTTTATCAAGACTATTTCTTGACGATCATTGTAAATGGGTTAGGATATAAGAAGGGCTCTTTTGTGTGTCATTTGTAAGAACTTTAATGGATTCTTTATTCATTAAAACATTTTAACTGCCATTCTAGTAAGACTGGAATTAAGGAGGCCACTGATGAATTTGTCAGATACAAATGAACTGCAGAGGAGATGACTTTCTGCGTCTTGTGTTTGTTCTGAATTGGGAAATAGAAGGAATATTGAAATGAATGTTTTGTTGCAGACAGTTGGCACTGTCAAAGCTTTTGAGTATAAAAAGTGTATTTGACCTTACAAAAAAAAAAAAGATCTAAGGAACTTAATTGATTGGAAAATAGTGTTCTGACGGGAAGGTTTGGAATCAGCAGATCCTGAACTTTTATTCATTTCACAGAATGTTCTCCGGAAAGTGCAACATCAAGATGCTTTGCAGATCTCTGATGTGGTCATGGCCTCCCTGTTAAGGATGTTCCAAAGCACGGCTGGGTCAGGGGGTGTGCAGGAGGACGCCCTAATGGCAGTTAGCACACTGGTGGAAGGTGAGCGAACCAAAATCACAAAGGAAGTGTTTCTGAAATGCAGAGTTTCAATGACTGAAGAAGTTTTGACTGCAGAAGTGTAGTCCTGTCTTCTCATTTATAAGGGCACAAGTCAGCTCAAAACCGGGTGAGATGAGTATAAATTTGTATATAACTGCCTTGCCACTCTCCTTGAAGTAAATGGGAAGTCAGTTTGCAAATTAGATTGGCAACTTTTTGGGGGGAGAAACTTACCAGCTATCATGTGTTCATCAGGTTCCTCTCCCTTGAATGTCTATTGCTTTATAGAGGTTTGGTTCCTATCAAGGATGGAGGAAGCAATGGTTTCTAATTTTGTTATCTGGCACTTGTTACCTCCTGGTTCAGATTGTATTGCTTCTAGACTCAAGTTTTCATGTTGTATCATGGTGCCTGGTATGGGATAGAATGAAACATTGAGTGAGTTCTAGGAATTAATTGATTTTATCATTGTTGCAATTCTGACTGTGCAGAATTGCTTTGGGGTAGCCATATCTGACTTAAGACTCTTTGAAGGGCCATTAGAAGCACATTAAAGAGCACTTTAGAAGCCTGGAATGCTGCTTCAGAGATGGCCTGTAAGGTATAGTACTAAAGCCATTACCAGAGGACCACTCCCCTGAGGACCAGACCTATTTCTAGCATGAAGAGCATCAGTCCAACTGGTCTGGCAACATGTGACCCACCCTGACAGGGTACAGAAGTTCATTTTGGCTCCAGGAGAGGCTGGTTTGGATATGAGGCTCAGTCTGCTTTTCCTGACTGGCTTGCAAAACCCTTTATGGAATTGCCTAGGGATCCTTTTTTAAAGCTAGCTTCCAGAAAGGATATGGTATATTCAAATGAAGAGGTAGGCATGAAGCAGGCAGTATTGCTAGCTCAGCCAATTCAGAATTAACCTTGACATTCTTTGAGGGCCATACCACTTGGTTGTTTTAGCCAGAGTGAGCTCCCACTCTGAAAGTTTGACATTATCTCCAGGGCATAGGAGTTAGGCCTCTCCAGTAGTTACGGATTTGGCTTACCCAAGGCAACCTTAATGTGTTACTCACACTCCACCCAACATATTGAATGGAGTGACTACATTTTGGGAGAGCTGGGATGGTTATTTTTTTGCTCACTTCTGTGATAATCTGTAGTGATAATAGTTGTTTCCTTACAGTTTTGGGTGGTGAATTCTTAAAGTATATGGAGGCCTTTAAACCCTTCCTGGGCATTGGATTGAAAAATTATGCTGAGTACCAGGTAGGCTGTACTTTTCAAAATAATATATTTATGTTCTCATTTGTATTCATTGTGGTACAAAGTCAAGTTCCTGTACCCCAGGTAGTTCTTCCCTATGTACCTTCCCAAGTGTTGAGCTACTTTATTTGTACCCTGAGAATCTGAACTAGAAGTAGTCAGTAAAAAACAGGATATTAGATGCATCAAAGTAGCACCCTAACAGCAGGACTTTTTTTTTTTTAAACCACCTGCCTGCTACGTAGTCCCTAGTAAATACTATCTTTCTGTCCTTTCTTAATGCTATCTCCAATAGTCCTAGTTTTCTTCTTGCCATATTGGTTGTTAAAATGAACCAGTCTCAGAGTCTTCCTTGACTCTAGGTTCAAGTGGTAAAGGACCAGCAGCTAAGTAAAAATAGTGCCATTTTTGTTCGTATGCCCTGGAGACAATGCTGCATCTCCACAGACGGCCTTTTCTGTTTGGGGGATAATTTTCTTAATTCTTTGCAGGTTTGTTTGGCGGCCGTGGGCTTAGTGGGAGACTTATGCCGTGCCCTGCAATCCAACATCTTGCCTTTCTGTGATGAGGTCATGCAGCTCCTACTGGAGAACTTGGGGGTGAGTGTCAACACATAAAATCTAATTTACTGGTATGTGAAGAAGTCCTTAGTTGGAAAGAAGGTTAACATCAAGGTCTGTGACAGAGAGCTATAGTTCCACAATGTTGGGCTGTGTGCTTGTAAGGAAGGGAATTGTTTGTTTTTACATGATGAGTCTATAGTAAAGTTGTAAAGTCAAAGGCATGCATGCTACATGCATGGAACTTGAAGGGGGAGACCAATAAATTATAAAAGCAAAGTAAATATACAATCCCTCTATCTAGAGATAAATACTGTTAATTTTTGTGTTATGTTCTTAGGGTCTATACCCTGCATATTCTTAGTTGCTTATTATTTTAAAAGTTTCTTGAGTCTTAGGATAGAACAAGTATTGATTTTTATTAATTTGCCTTTTTTTTTTTTTTTCCTTGTCAGAATGAGAATGTCCATAGGTCTGTGAAGCCACAGATTCTGTCAGTGTTTGGTGATATAGCCCTCGCTATTGGTGGAGAGTTTAAAAAATACCTGGAGGTTGTACTGAATACTCTACAGCAGGCTTCCCAAGCCCAGGTGGACAAGGTGAGTTTAAAGCTAACTTAAGTCTAGCCCTGATTGGGGGAGTGGGACTTCAGACAAACATAGAACTAAAGGTGATTAGCGTGATGGAAATTCTGGTTTTTATCTCTTGCAGTCAGACTATGACATGGTGGATTATCTGAATGAGCTAAGGGAAGGCTGCTTGGAAGCCTATACCGGCATTGTCCAGGGATTGAAGGGAGACCAGGAGAACGTACACCGTTGAGTATACAACTTAGTTGATTTAGTCCAGTGTGCATTTAGCCAAACGGGCTGTTTTTCATTGTGTAGCTTACTTGAAACTAGCAACTATTGCTTAAAGGAAGGTGGGGAGAAGGCAGAACAGTGCTTCATGAAGAGAGTGGCCTTGGGGGAGATTTCCATTATTTTTCTTCCTGGTTGCTCTTACTTTGTGTCATGTTTCTTGATCATGGCAGGAATGGGACTCATTCAAGCTGTTGGCTGGTTGCATCTGCACCAGCCATGAGCAGCAGTTGTTGAGGCCTCCCCAGTGCCTCAACTTGGAAGGGTTGAAGGATTGGGGGTTCAGATTTCCTCTGTCACTTGATTGTATTATTGATTGGGGAACTATTTTTAGTTTACCCCTTTGATATCATGGGCTTAGGGGAAAGGTTCCATTTGGTCCTTTTAGATTGTATCTGCTTACAGGAAGAGGAGTGCCTGCCTTTCCTGTTGACTTGAAGAAAGACATTTTAATCTGGGGAAGGGTAATTTGGTATAACTATGTAACTAGTTCTCTAGCCGGAAACCTTCCTGATGGGGGTAGAGTGGAAATTTTGAAATGGGGTTGTAATCCTGCCAAATGTGGGTCAACTTCATCAGACCTTCTCTTCTTTTATAGCGGATGTGATGCTGGTACAACCCAGAGTAGAGTTTATTCTGTCCTTCATTGACCACATCGCTGGAGATGAGGATCATACAGATGGAGTAGTAGCCTGTGCTGCTGGACTGATAGGGTAGGTTATTCCCTGGTTCTCGGAGCTGAATAGAGCTGGTCGTGGAAAATGAGATGAATAGTAAAGAATTTTCAAAGTAGCATGGATGGTGATTACCCACTTCTTTGGCATGGAGATTTTTTTTTTCTTTAATGGAACCCCTGGTGTCCTCTTTTGAATTCTCACAATGATAAATCATTCAAGACTTGGCAGATTTCTAATTTCTCCCCACTAAACTCTTTATGAAGTGAGTTCTCAGAGGTATAGAAGCAGCATCAGATCTGCATCCATCCCATATTCTGATGCTGGTCAACAAATTGCCTCTGTATAGCTGCCTCTACTGAGGGTTTCTGAGGCATCATTAGAAGAAAGAACATTGGTCTTGAGGAGCTCAGACCTGGATTCTACTTCTGATTTTACCAGGAATTAGCTGTGGAGCCTTAAGTAAGTCATTACACCTCTTTAGACCTCATTTTTCTCATCTGTTGACAGCAGGTGTTAGATTTACTTATCCACAAAATTTCTTAGAAATTTTAAAAGGTAGGTGACTACTGAGAAACCCATAGCTAGCTTAGCACTGATTTGGAAGACTCAAAATATAATTATTGATATAAGGCCAGGAGCTCATTTTCAGGTGTTTATTTTACACAGGGACTTGTGTACAGCATTTGGGAAGGATGTACTGAAATTAGTAGAGGCTAGGCCAATGATCCATGAACTGTTAACTGAAGGACGGAGATCGAAGACTAACAAAGCCAAAACCCTTGCTACATGGGCAACAAAAGAACTGAGAAAACTGAAGAACCAAGCTTGGTAAGAACTTGGCTCCCCTGCCTTCTTTCTCCTACTTTCTTGGGGAGAAGGAACATTTTCTTTAGACTATTTTGACAGGGGCCGCCTTTCTTTTGGTATTTTGTTTTGTACTCTTTCCCACATAAGTGCTTCTGAGCCAGGCCTTTGTTCCTCAGCCTTGTACTAGTGGAAGGATCAGGCAGCCTTAATCTTTCTTAGGCCAAATATTTGATTCCTCATGGTGAAGAACAGAACTAATATAACTAGAATTCACTGAAGTCCCCAAATCATTTTGGGCCCTAATAAAGTCATCAGTGATGACATATTCCCATAATTCTCTCTTATTCCCTTTGGCATGCTCCTCTCTTTCTATACTGCAGTATTTCTAGACATTGCTTAGCTCTACAGAAGACATCCAAAGTCACAGTTGTCCGACCTCTGCTTTGAAATTTAGTTTTGTTTTCCTCTCATATACTGAGTTAAATTGACTATTTTGAGTTTTATTTTTTTAGTTTCACTTCTGCCCTCTAATGCAGATGCTAATGGGAGCAGACAGATGGCACATAGGAAGAGAAGAAAAATAATCGGTCCTCAAGAAGTTGACAAATTCACTTTAGGTCTATGAGCATTTAATTTTAAGAACAGGTGTGTTTGACTCTACGTGATCTCAAAACAAAAGATTGACCTCTTTTCCATTTCTTTTTAGACCCGTTACCATTGGGATGATGACCTGAGACCCCCGCTGGAAATCTCCAATCTTTTGAAAAACCCGGAAGTGAGGAGTGTGCACGGATGCTGAATGTTTGGGAGTGAGAGGATGAGTGAGTGAGGCTTGAAAACACACCACATTGAAAATCCTGCCACCGCAGCAGCCGCAGCCGCAGCCGCCAACAGCAGTGCTGTCAGTGAGCTAAGTAAGCCCTGACTTCGTAGGAAACCGTAATGTTGGCCGTCTTGGAAAAGAGAGAAGCAAAGGATTTACCTGCTAAAAAAGAAAGCTAGCTCTCCCCAGGAGAGGCTAGAACTAGCTTTTCTGTCTATGGGCTGGTGCTGAGTGGAATGACTAGGAGAGGAGGAGGGATAGGTTCAGCTGTGGTGCTTTGTTGTGAAAGGCAGCCTGGCCTTTGCTACTGATAAGATGGAGCCTGGGTCTCAAGCCCACCTTTTGTATACCTTTGCCATGTGACGCCATACGCGGGCTGGCTAAAAGGAGGGTGTGGGATTCTTTACAGTCTGAGAATGAGTGTGTGTGAGTGAGGCGGTATCCACATTCTCAACTTCAAGTCATTGCAGTTTCTTTTTCCCAGAAAAAAAGGGGTTAGACATTGCATTTCATAAAACTAACTGAAGTTCTGTCTACTGATGCAGCACAAGAGATGTAAAAAAGAAAAGGAAAGACGCTCTTCTAGGTTTTGTTTTGTTTTGTTTTTTTAATTATCTTCTGGGGAAAACACTGACGAATGGTCAGAGCTCCCATATCCTAATCTTTTCATCAAGACGCCTTTCCTAATAATATGATTCAACTGTGAATGTAGAAGTGGGGGGGAGGGGGGTGCAAAAGAAAACTCTGGAGTTAGAGGATATAGATAAAACAGAAATTACAATTGTTACAAATAAAGAATGCAGACTTCAAAAACAAAAGGCCACAACCCAAACAAATCCAAATTTAAATGCTCAGAATTGGCAGCACAAAAGAAAAGTTCTCTCCTGACTTACATTGTGGCAGTCTGAACACCCCCAGAAAATTGTGCCAAAGAGTTTAGAAAACAAATATACAGTAAAAGTACACACAGACAGCAAACTTCAGGTAACTATTTTGGATTGCAAACAAAGATAAATTTAATGTTTAAACACTCTGATAAAATAACCATTTGGAAACTGCTCGGCCTTCTGTTCTCTTTTATTTGATTGACTATAATGCGATATTGGTCTCTTGCTGCACTTCAAAACCAACTAACCAACAAAACAAAAGGCAAAAAATATATATATATATGAAGTGTGTGTGTACATATATATATATATACATACATATATGTGCACACACACACTAGAACTCATGATGAAAATGGCACTTGAAAAAGGTTATATTTTTCCACTGAAGTTGAAGATTAATAAAATGGTGTCAAACATTTCCCTGGTCACACACTTTAATACTTTTTTTTAAAGTGTGATATGTTATGAAAACCATAAACCAAGACTTAGTTATTTCCCCTTTTATAAGGGAACAGGGCACCCTGAATTCTGGGTTTAGAATCTTTCAGCAATAAGGAGGGAATATTAGTGAGCTTTGATCCCTTTTGGTTTTGCAGTTGGAAAGTTTTGCTGGCATTTTGAATATGCTGCTTTCAAAAACACCAAGGAAGATTTTTATTGCTTCTTGGTATTTGGAGGATAAAAGACAAGACCTTAAATTCCCACTTTGATTTCCATTTTAGCAAAAAAATACGGGCTTATGTTTCTTCTCTGCCATTCCCCCCCCCGTCCAAGCCTTCCCCCTCGTATGTGGAATTGGCTTGGTATTGCCCATCCATATGGCAGCATCTCTAATAGCTCTTGTACAGGGTATCAGATATTGTGCCTTTTGGTGCCAGGTTCAAAGTCAAGTGCCGATCTATGAACCAGTGTACAAAAAAAAAAAAAAAGCCAGGTGTTTGAAGGAAAGACGCTCCATTGTGAATAAAGAGCTTGCATCAGCTCCTAAGCCCTCAGAAGAGACCTGGTCCTCTTAATGCCTTGTTTAAATTTTAGTCCTTGAGGGAGAGGATGATCCATTAACCATTCCTGACAGATGTTGGTCAGGGCTTAGGGAGGAGGGGGCAGGAATATCAGGGAGAAAAAAATCTGATCATTCCTCAGTGCTACCCATTTCTGTCCTGTGTGGGCTGCTTAGCTAGACAGCAGGAGAATAAAGTACACCAAGAACCGTAATGAAAACAAAACCTTCCGTGTGTTTTGTCATGTTTTGTTCCAGGGAAGCAGTTGACAAGTGCTGTTACTAATGCGTTCTCCCAGATCCCTTCAGTGGCGGGGAGGAGGAAAACGGGCTGGGTGGATTGTGGTCTCAGTGCCTTGCCGTTTTTCCGCACTGGTTATGCATTTAAGCCGCCTCTTTTCTATTACCTTTGGCTAGCGGGTTTTCCATAGTGTGGAGACCCTTATTTGTCCTTAATCAGTTGTACCGCCTAAGGCAACTGGATGCATAATGCATTCTGTCCACTCACTGTCTGGGCCTTCCCTACCCTAGTCTTGGCACATTCCTTCAAGAATGTAGTTACCGTCTGCTTGGGAAGATGACAGTGCAAATGTGAAGAAGATGGACATCAGACTAGGCTTTGGTTTGCCACACGTGGCAGCTGCCTGCCTGTATCGATTACAATTACATTTATTAATTTTGCTTTTCATTTTCCCAGTTCCCATCAGATCCCCTCTGTTGAAATCTTGGCTGTCAGAGGCAACAGTAATATTGCCTTAGGGACTTGTGGAGAAAGGGAGGGGAATTGCTCAGTGTAGTGTTTCACTTTCAGAACCAAGTAATCAGTCACTCTTACATTTAAGAAGTGTGTTAGTCTGACTTTTAAGAGAAATCCAAACTCCAACAAGCATCTTGGTTTTTGAAACAACTTCAATCTGTAATTGGCATTCAGAATGCCCTTGGCATGCCAGTCTGTGATGGCATTAAAGACCTGTTAAAACACTTGAGCCCAACTTTATTAACCAAAACTGATACCACCACCTTTATCTTCTAAATAAAGTCCGCTTTATTTTTATTTTCAACATTTTGCCGCTTCATTTTTGGTTCCAGATGATGTCACCTCCTCGGAGGTGAAATGAATGGTTTGAAAGAAGCTGGGATGTGTGTTGGTGATAGATGTGTGTGTGTGAGTTGGGGAGAGGAAGGACACACCTGTCTTAAAAATGGATTCTACATAGTGTGATGGGAAATAAGCAGAAAACATGTTCTACAGAGGAGGTAGTGAGAAAGGACTATGGAGGTTTCCTGTTGGGAGTGATTCTGAAACTGCTGGAGATTGTCCTGTCTTGTGCATATTTTTCAGGCTAATGATCTGGTTTGTTTAATGGCTCATTCAGAGTTAGCTTTTTACTTAGTTTGCAGTGTATATTTAATTTCTACTTCTACTTTTTCCCCCAGAAATTGTAGAGGAAAGAATACTAATGGGATTTAAGAAACTGGGTCCTTTCCTTTACCCTGCTGCTTATTACTGTAGAGGTGCTTGCAGTCTGTTTTATGGAAACATGCACTTCCTTAGTTTATGTTGGGCAAGAAAAATGAGGGCTGACCTTAATTTTCCTACCTTAGCCTCCACGTGGCCTTTTCACCTTTTCTGATTGCACACTTGTCAGTAAAAAAATTTTGATCATGCATACCCCAATGTGTTTACAAACTATATACCTGTACTACTGTACCCATATATTGTGTAATAAGACAAGTAGATATTAAAAAGCAACTATATGAAAAATAAATATAAATAGAAGTTCTAATAATTTATTTCTATGCCCAATTTTGGAGATTTCTGAGTATTATAAAGGGTAACTTGTAATTCTTATATAACTCCTCAATAATGTCAATCCTCCAAGAATATTTCTCCATTGAAGATGTTCTTACAGGGAAGAGTGATACTAGTTCATTATCAAATGGCAGGGGACTGCTGCTCTTTCCAAAAGTTTCCCAGGTAACCCCCTTACTGATAGACATCTACCCTGAAAGAATATAGATGTAAGGTTATAGGTGTTGCCTGGCCTCCTCAAGGGTTCTAGGTTGACCTGCCTGAAGTGAAAAACAGTAAATATTGAGAATATTTTAAGTGTAAATTAGTGAATTATCAAAGCAAATGTAACAGTCACTATTCCCATTGATTGGTGAGGAAGGTGGGGCAGAAAGATTTTATCTGATCAAAATCACAGGGAGCTTGATTTCAAATGTCAGATAAGATACCAAAACTGAAACTTTTCTCACGTTTGCCCTAGACAGATGTGGTGATACAAAACAAGGATCCTTACTGTACATATTTATGATAGACCACCCATGTCCTTCACAGCACTATCTAAAAGAATATTTGAAATTTGTTTCCTGATTTATTGCCAGTTTTACCAACTATAACATAAGCTCCCTAATGTGGTAACCATGGCTGTCTCATTTACTACTGTAAATTTACTCATCCCCAGCCTACGGCAGTGCCTGACATGGTAGACCTTCAATAAATGTTGAACAAATGACATGTCAATACCATTCAGGAAGCTTCTGGAATGGCATCGCTTAGCCCCTGAAGGGTAAAGCATCCAGAAACCTGGGAATGGCATGACCTCAGGAGACCTGGACTCCTACCTCTTCTCCCTCCCCATTTGCTGGATGGCTCTTCAGGCTAGCCTCTTAACCTTGGGTTAACTGAAGGAATGGGAACAGGATTTGTCCTCACGCAATGTCATTTATGTACTTACCAGATGCCAGAGTAGTAATAAGCATCTTACATAGAGCAATAAAAGTAATCACCACCAACGCTATAACAAAGGCGCCACTTTAATCCCATTTTACAGAAGAGGAAACAAGCAGAGGAGTGAACACCCTTGGCCGAAGTCATGTGGGCTAGTGAGCAACGCTGGCCCTGCAGGCTGTTCTGTCAGACTGGGCTGTTGGACCTCATGGGACATCAGTTAGAGAATGAGCAGAAGAGCCTCTGCCCCCAGCGGGCTTACCCTGGATGAAGGGTTTGGGAATTAAAGAGCAAAGTCATTTTGCCTTAATTCTGTAATAAGGTCCACTGTCAACCTTTCTGCAATTGTCAAAACTCAATTCAGGGACTAGGGGTGATATTTTTACCTCAAGTCGACTTTCCTCCTAACTAGAGTTTGAATCATCTCCCTGCACTTTGTTTACCCTCTGAGCTAGTTTTCGGGATCCAGGGCTAGGGGAGGGGTGGATGCTGGTGCCTGGTGGCCAGAAAGTCCACCGGGCTGCTGAGTAAGCTCCACATCTGAATTACCCGTGCGCTGTCAGCTGATCCTGTGCAGCTCTGGGCCAGAGGCTGATGAAGCCTGAGCTGTTCCCTCTCCTCGGTGCTCCTAGCCCCTAAGGTCCTGATCTGAGCTCTCCTGAGTGTGACATGTACCTTCTTGTCTGGAAGGAAATTAAGTTTCAGCTTTAGCACCCAGACTGAGCTCTGGAAGAAGTTGCTCTGTATGAAGAAGCTTTCCATAGCGATGAGCAACGCCTGTTATATTCTGAGCACTGACCTTCAAAATTCTGTACAATGTTTGGAATATGACCTCGGGCAAATTATTCAACTTTGATCCTCAGGTTCCTCATCTGTAAAGAAGGGATCCCAATGAAAGATAATGCATATAAAGCTTCTAGCATAGGGCCTCCCACATGTATTAAATGAAATGAAGTGATCAATAACTGTTATTGAGTGTGTGCCAGGCACTGTTCAAGACACTGGGGATATAGCAGTGAATGAAGCAAATGAAACCTCCTTTCTGTAGTGCTTACATTCTAATGGATAATACTAGTAAGTATCCAAAAATTCAACACAATACAGTTTTTTAAATTCTGTTGGGGAGATAGCAGAAATGCACATGGTTGTGGGAGAATATGAAGCACAATCGGTTATATATTAAAAATACCCTAAACACATTTCCACCCAAACCTTGCTAATTTCATTAGAGAATGTGCATTACCTCCCTAGAAATCTGAAGATTTGGTGAAAGAATGAGTCTTTGCACCCCCTGCCCAAACTTCTGATTTGATGAAAGACCAGCAGCTGCATTTGGGGTCCCAGGAGGGTTCTGCAGTGAACCCTAATTTTCTGAGGTCAAGAACTGGAGGGCTAAGGTGACACCCAGACCCTGCATTGTCACAAGTGTCCAGTCAATTTTCCCGCCTGCCTGGTTCTATTTGAGTCATCTGAGTTTTATTTTGATTCAGTCTCTTTGCCGACTGCTAACACCATCTCCTCCTACTCTTTTCAGGCAAGAATGGGATGGGAAAGACAAAGTTTTTCTCCAGAGCAGAGGTCCTGGGAGTGGGAGACAGTCTCTCTTGGATGGTGGTTTCCAAGGAGGAAACACGCAGGGGCAACTCACACTGCTTCTGTGCCCTTTCTCCCACCAGTACCTCCAGGAGGCAGGTCCTCTCATACCTCACCTTGTGAATGCTTCTTAGCAACGCTGTATCACCTAGGCCCGACCAGCAGCTGTCCACCACGTTCATTCCCTTCTCTCCTCCAACCATACTTCTCCTTTCACTATGCCCTTGGTTTTTACCTTTTCCTACCTTTGTCATGATGAGTTCTGATATCATGGGTTCTTCAAAGGAATTAAGACCTATCTCAGATGAGAGGTGAAGTAACTAATCCAAAGACACACTGCTTCACCCATTTATTCATTCAAACAATAACACTCCTTGTTACCCACATCACCTCACTGGGGACACTTTCTGTGACTACTTTCTCTAAAGCAGATCCCACCCCCATCCTGAGAATTGCTGCCCCTTGTGTCTTTTTACCCTTTGTAAATGTCTCATCTATTAATTTTCTTGTTTGTTTGAATTCCCTACTAGAATATAAGCTCCATGAGGGCAAGAGAGATGTGTTTATCCTCCAGAGATAGGCTCATCACTGTACTGTCAGCATCCAGCACATAATGGATATTCAATTAATGTTTGCTGAGTAAATATACAGAAAGCAGGTAACATCTGGGCAACTGGGGATACGAAGACAGAAGGGGTATATAGGCCCTGCTTTCAGAACTTTCCAGTATGAGCAACAGAACCAGAAAGAGGGAGAATGGGAGGAGATCAAGTCAAAACTGGAGAAATATTTTAGGGGCACCTAATCAGGCCTAATAGCTGTGGGGCTTTTGCCACCAACCACCTAGAACCCAAGGTAAACTATGTGGCTGTGACTCTGGCCTGTACCCTGAGCAGCCTAGCAGCAGCACTTATCCCAAAGAGTGGGTACTCAGATGCACACGCAGACCCATTCCCTTCCCCTTTCCAGTGAGGAGAGCTTGCCAGTCAGTTTCACAGGTCCAGCTGGTAGCTAAGTCACACCCATCTGGTCCCCAGAGACATCCCCACCCCTCCTAGCCTAGCCTCCAATCTTTTGCCTGGTCTTGCACTTAGGAAAAGTACTTGTGCAGCCTTAAGGAAGGTGACACCTGCCTAGCCCTCGGGATTAGTAGGGTAGCAGATGTCCCAGCCAGGAAACGATCACAGCCAGAGGACAGCCGTGTTGTCCCACATGAATCAGAGAAAGCCAGTGCCTCAGGGTGGCTGACCCGTCTTTCAGTTTGGACTTTAAAAGGACCCTAGCAGGGAGACGAGGAAGGAAATCAGAGAAATATCCTTTGAAGAGAAAGAGCCCACAGCCTCCGTTGGCTGTCCTGGGAGCTGCTCACCCCTAAATCAATCTCCCTACAGAGGGGCAAGATGGCAGCTGCTGCTCCTGCTTCTCCACATTCCAGATTCATCCCCTTGCTCCAGGACCCAGAAAAGTAGGCTGTGGTTCCCAGCAGCCTGAACTCTCCCTCCAGGTGGGAGGTTTCACAACTCAGTGCTGAGCCTACAAAAGCCCCTTCCTAAGCCTATACCCGGCTTCCAGGGTCAGCTTGTCAGGGGTTAGCCAGTCCTCCAGGGTTTTCCCGATCAGTCCCTGCCTGCAGCCAACACTACCAGGCCATGCCTCTGCTCACATTTCTTAATTCATCAGCGAGTAATCAAAACGACTCAGTAACACCTCTTGAGGATTCACAGGGCACCTTTATTTCTGATTCCCATTCTTCCCCCACAGTTGCCTGGATTGGAAATTACCTCCAACTTTAATCCAGGAGGTTAACTAACATGCCCAAGGTCACACAGTAAGAAAATGGCAAAAAGAACCCTGGGTCTGCTGTCCAGCAGTTGGGCAGGTACCCAAAAATCTTTGTGGAAAGGTGAAATCTGGTGTTTCTTCATTTCGCTGGCTTGTGGGTGAGTGGTGGGGGAAGGGATTCTGTCAGGTAGGAAAGGTGTCCCCTTTTCCTAAATGAATCTCTGACTTCAGTTCACTCTCACTTCCAAAGAAGTTACTGATCTAACCCTGATCTCCCCGACTAGACCCTATTATGGTCAGTGTATTTATCAGAGCAATGCCCCCTCCCCCAAGAGCAATGAATTAATTAGTAGGTCTAATATTTTCCTTCTCAAAAGAGCAAAGACCAAAAAAATCCAAATAAATAGCCTCATTTTCCCCCAAAATATACCGCTCAAAGCAAAACCCAGAGCGCCACCTGAGCCTTGCACTGTCCGCAGACGCCCCCAACACACAGCACTCCACCCCACAAAAGCGTTAGGAGGCGCCGGGGAGGGGGCGCGGAGCGCCGGCCGGGACGCTGCGGGGAGCCGGTGGGCGCCGGGCGCGCTGCCAGGTCGGGCCGCACCGCACCGCGGGGGCCGGGCGCCCCTCGCCACGTGGTGGTGGCAGCGGCGGGGTCCGGGGCGTCTTCCCAGCTGGAGAGAGCCGGAGCAGCAGGGGAGGAGGAGGAGGCGGCGGCGGCGGCGGAGGAGGAGCGGGAGGGAGGGAGGGAGGGGGGCTGGGGGAAGAGGTGGGGGTGGGGAGAGACCCGGCGGCGGCGACAGGGCGAGAGCAGAGCGCGGTGCCAGGGGGGTGGGGGCACCGGTGCCCGTCTGGGGAGGGAGCAGGCGGAGGGGGTAAGCTGCGATTACAAGCAGGAACCGGCAGCAGCTGTGAGTCCCCGGCTGGGCTGGGGCGGGGGGAGGGGAGAGGCGCGCGGAGCCGGACTCGGGGGGTCGGGGTGGGCTGGAGGAGGGGGCGGGAGGTTGGCCAGCAGTTGGCACAGGATGGCCGGGAGGGGAAGGGTCCGGCCTTGGCCACCCGCATTCCCCCTCTCTCCCTTCTCCACCGCTCCTCAGGCCGCACCGCCTCCGGAGCCCCTTGCCCGGCCCGGGCACGGCGGGCCGGGGCCCGGGGCTCGGCCAGCGGTGGGGAAGGGGACTGCGTGGTCTCAGCCCCCGAGAGGGGAGGGGCAACAGTTTCCATCGGCCGAGCTGAAGGGGTTTAAAGGGCTGCTCTTAAAGGGGCCGTAGAAGGGGCCCGGGACCGAGAAGGCACCCCCTCCCCATCCGCCTTCCGTCACTCTCACCCGGGGCCGCTGCGCGGAGCGGAGAATGCAGAGGAAGGAAATATTTGTCGGGGCGGCCCACGGGACAGAGCCCCCAATAATGGGGTTGGGCGGGAGGGGGCGGGCAGGGGGTCTGGGGGTGTGTGGTGAGCGCGGGCGAGCGGAGTCGGGGGAGGGGAGGACAGGGGCCCGGGGAGGAGAGGGTTAAAGGTGGGGCCAGCCCTACAAACACGCGCACACACTCCTTACTCAGACCCGGTCACACGCGTTTCCCGGGCACTTAGTGGGGCGCGGACGCGGTGTTGGGGCCTGGGCCCTCTTCACCCCAGGCTCCTGCCGCCCGGCTTTGGGAGGTCGCGGACCCCACTGTACTGTCTCGACTCACACCTCACGCCGTGCCCCCTCTCCTACACGCACACAGGCTCTGGCGCGCGCGCACACACCTTGGACATTCCCATAGTGCCTCACGTGACACACGGCCCGAACGTGCCCACCCTTCACACACGCTCACGCACGCGTGTACACACGCGCACACACAAACAACACACGGCCTCCGGCCACTTCCCAGCTGCGATCCCCGACCCCCAGCCGCAGCCCCACAAAGCCACTCATTGACTATGACACACCTACACTCATTCACAGACACACACGCTCCCCCCACATATGCCAGCTACAGACACACATTCATAAACAGGGCCAGAAGAAGTACACACGCACCCCTCGCCTACTCTTTCGGGAGCCCTGAGTCATTCCTGCCCCCTCCCAGGGCTCCCCATTTCCCTGCGTGCAGGCTCCACTGGCTTCGGAATTCCTTGGCAGCCCTCTTCCAGAGCCCCCTTCTCCGCTGTGTGTTCCCCCTGACACTCAGTTGAGGACTTCCTGTGGGTCCCAGGTCAGGGGCCAGGAGGGCCTGGAGGGTTGCCACAGCCGCGGTGTGAGAGGGGGAGGCACTTCCTCTTCCTGAGCTCTGGGATCCTGCTGGAGGAAACTAGGAGGTCGGGCGGGGGCCCAGCAGAGGCAGAGCTGACAGCGGCCCGCCGCCAGGGCTGACCCTCTCAGAAGCACTGGGCCTTAGGGAGGAGCCAGGGGTGCCAGAGGCCTGGAATGAGGAGTGTGGTGGAGAGGTATTTGGGAGAGTGGGGTGTGGGGTGGAGAAGGGTCTGAGGAATGAGTCAAGGAAAGTCCTTGCGGACCCATTCGCTGGAAAGGCAGCCCTCTCCTGTCCACAGATCACCCTGGGTTCCGGAAGGAGCCCTTCTCTGCTGCTGGCCTGGCTTACTTGTCACCCTATGTGTCGCCCCATCCCCCCAAGTCCTGTCCCTAATCCCAAAGGCAGCAGAGAAGATGGGGCTTGGAAGTCTGGGAGGGTACAGTGGGAGACGGGGGCAGTGAACTTCCAAGCTGCATCTCAGCTGGACACAGGGTTCCCCAGGCCTGGTGGAGGACTACTTGGGAGAAGCTCCAGACTGCCCTCTCCATGCCTGCTCCTGCTCTCCCAGGAGGCGCAGTGGGCCCGAGGCCTGGGACCTTGCCATGGAATCCATGTTTGAAGATGACATCAGCATCTTGACCCAGGAGGCCCTGGGGCCCAGTGAGGTGTGGCTGGACGCCCCAGGAGACCCCTCACTGGGGGGTGACATGTGCTCAGCCTCCCACTTTGCCCTCATCACGGCCTACGGGGACATCAAGGAGCGGCTGGGAGGCCTGGAGAGGGAGAATGCCACGCTCCGCCGCCGCCTCAAAGTCTACGAGATCAAGGTCAGAACCCAGAGATAACAGAGGCTGGCTGTGGGGGGGGGGAGTAGGAGGCAGGTGCTGGGTGGCAGAAAATGGGGATCCAGCAGAGATTCCAGGGGTCCAAAAGAGAGATCAGGGTACACATTCGTGGGAACTTGAGGGTCCTGTATGAGGGATGTGACTGCTCTGGGTGGGAACTCTGGAGAGCCCAGCTGCCAATCAGGAAGGGCTCCAGAGGGCCAAGGTGGCAGAACCTGGGGTCTCAAAAAGATCTGCTTGGTGGCAGATGCCTATAGGCCCATGGGAATTGGGACAAACAGATCCCACTAAAGCCGGGAGGGAGAGGTGTAGACACAGAGGCAGACTGTGAGGTGGGAGCATAGTGAGGCTGAAGCCCGGGCAGAGAGCCAGGCACCAGCTCTCCTGAGGGCCTGCCCGACCCACAGTACCCGCTGATCAACGACTTTGGAGAGGAGCACGGCTTCTCTTTGTATGAAATCAAGGATGGCTCCCTGCTGGAGATGGAGAAAGTCAGCCTGCAGCAGCAGCTCAACCAGTTTCAGCATGAGGTGAGCCCCCAGCCCAGGCCTCCCAGCCTCCTGAGCTCCTTGCTCCAATCTGTTTCTGATACCTCCCCCACCCCCAGCCTCTGGCCTTCTGCCCCACAATCAGAGATGGCCACAGTCCTCCCTAGAATCAGCTGCAGCTCCTCCCACCCCTCCACTGGGTGCTGGTTGTGGGGATGGGAGGCACAGAGAGCCACTCAGTGTCCAAGACAAATATGGGCCTGACTGTGGCATGCACCACCTTGCTCTGGGCTCCTTCCAGCTGCAGAAGAATAAAGAGCAGGAAGAACAGCTCGGGGAGATGATCCAAGCTTACGAGAAACTCTGTGTGGAGAAGAGCGACCTGGAGACAGAGCTGGGGGAGATGGTGAGGCCCTGGGAGCTGGGGGTGCTTGATGGTGACCCTGGTTGTGTGATTGTGTGCAGCCCTGTGTGCATGTGCTTCTGGCGTGAATCCTGCTAGTGTGTGTCTGTGAGTGTCTGTTTGGCTTTATGAGCAGGGCTCTGTGTGTCATACAAACTGTGAGTAACCCTGGGTACATCTGGCCATGCAGTGACAGATGATGACTGCATGAGTGACCCTGTAGGACACTGTGTCTCTCTGTATGTTTGAGTCTCATGCTGGGTCGACCCTATGCCTACAGCACTGTGCCTGGAAGGCTGTGTAGGTGAGAGCCGAGACCAGAAGTGTCTGTGGCTGCTGGGATGGGTCTTGGCATGTGTGTGATTCTGAGTAGGGGTATGGCCATGAGTGTGAGCAGGTGGGCAGGCGTCAGAATGAGGAAACCTGGTCTCTGCCAATTCCTACCTGTGACCTGGGTCAAGTAACTTAGCCTCCATCCCTTCTCTGAAAAGTGGGGCAAGTAACAACCTCACTGAGCTGTCATGGGCATTCGTGTAAAAATGCTCTGCCTTAATAACCATAAACAGTTAAATGGCACTCACCATGTGCCAGGCGCTATTCACATCTCTTTAGGTGTGTTTACCCATTTGAATCCTCATCACAAACCTAACAGGTGGTGTGGTTATCCCCACGTTATAGAAGAGGTGGATGAAGCCCAGAGTGGTTAAGTCATATATAAATAGAAATTACTCTGCTCCCGAGAGGGTGGCTATGTCTGGACAGTGGGCTGAGTGTTCCTAAAGTGTTCCTGTGTGCTGATGACAAAGAAGAGGCATTAACTTCGACCTTGCATGGGGCAATAGCCAGAAACATCCACATCGCAGCTGCTGGGAGAGGAGACTTCACACTCACGGCCATTTAAGAGTGCAGCTGGGACGCATGACCTGGGGCCTCTGCTTAGGTTGGGGCAGGGGCGTGATGGCTACCCAGACATAGGGAGAGCCCTGGGTTTGGGGTGCACTGGTCCTGTGCAGATCCTCACCCCATTGTCTCCCTCTGCAGCGGGCCCTGGTGGAGACCCACCTGCGGCAGATCTGTGGTTTGGAACAGCAGCTGCGGCAGCAGCAAGGCCTCCGGGAGGGAGCCTTCCCCAGCCTGAGCCCCCCGCCTGCCCCCGCCCCGCCCTGCGCTGACCTGGACCTGCACTACTTGGCACTGAGAGGAGGATCTGGCTTGAGTCATGGTGAGATCTCAGTGATCCCTGGCTTCCCTACCCTAAAGTCCTCAAGCCTAACCCCCATTTCGGCACCACTGGACACCTCCAGCTACTTGGATTGACAGTCAACTCCCCATTATAATGTCTTAAATTTCTCCCATAGTCACCCAATCCCTCCTTGCCACCTGTTTCCTCGCCTCATCCCTTCTTACCCCACTTTCTCCCACTGACACCCCCCTTACCCACTTATTTCATTTACCCCCATGCAATTCCTGTGTGTATCAGCAGAGGGCGCCCCCACCCAGGGTCCTCCTGCCTCTCCTAGGTTGTGATTAGAAGAGGCCCCTGAGGATGCTCAGAGACTTGAGACTGGCCAGGGAAGCCCTTCAAGAGGCCATCTTATTTCAGCCCTGGCCTCCAGGAAGATTAGAAAGAGCAGCTCAGCATGCCTTCCTCACTGACCTCAGCAGAAGTAGCTCTTATCCTGGGGTATTAGTCCTCTGGCTGTCTTGGTTCCCTCATGCTGCTTTCATCATCTGCTTTACTTTGTGCTTATCTGGGCATCGTTGGAGGGTGACCAGCAGTTGGACCCCTCCTGACACTGCCCTCTCCCCCACCTGCAGGCTGGCCAGGCCCCACACCAAGCATGAGTGAGCTGGAGCGGCGACAGCTGGAAGAAGCTCTAGAGGCTGCCCAGGGAGAGGCCCGGGGGGCTCAGCTTCGGGAGGAGCAGCTCCAGGCTGAGTGTGAGAGGCTGCAGGGGGAGCTGAAGCAGCTGCAGGAGACCCGGGCCCAGGTAAACAGCATGGGGGCTCTGGGCCCCAGGCCCCTGCTCTGTGAGGCTACAGGAAACAACCCTTAGAGGTCCAGGACTTCCTTGCTGGTACAGATCAACCCTCGGAATGGTAGAGAAGGGGGATCCAGGCGAGGCAGGGTTGAAGTCTGACCTCTCAACCTTTCCTCTTAGGATCTGGCCTCCAACCAGTCCGAGCGGGACATGGCATGGGTGAAACGAATTGGGGATGATCAGTAAGTCACATCTGTAATCTCCCTCCTAATCTCCACCGTGGGGTTGGCATGTCCCAGGTCACTTCTCCCCCTCCACATTGTCTGGGGGACCTCTCCTCGAGCCTTCAGGGCTGTGGGATTTGGGTTGCTCGTGTGGCTCTGCATCCTTCACAGGAAGGAGGTGAGGTTCTGGGGGTGCTCAGGTTCTGGGGTGTCCCCTTTGTGTTCCTTGGATGCTCAAGCCTGTGTCTTCTTGAAGTGTCAGGGGTTGAGATTTCCTCAAGGTTTTGCTGCTATGTTCTGTGTCCCCTGGTGAGTTTTTTGGGCCTCTCTGGGACCCCATTTTCTGTTCCAGAAACAAGACCCAGCTGGTTGGGTTAACCCTCCCTTCCATGACAAGGGGGAAGGATTTGTGGAGCCTCATCTCCTATCTCAGGAAGGAGGAAGGGGAGGCTTAGATGAGGGGATGCTTCCTTAAGTTTGCACAGCAGTGGGTGGGGAATCAGAACACCCTCTGCTGGGGTGTCCCTTTGGAATCCTGCCAGGAAAGAAGGGCAGCAGGAAGTAGGAAGGGAGCCTTGTGAGTGGAGAGCCTAATGGTGGGGGCCCCTGGGGCAGCACTGGGTAACAAAAGAAGGGAGAGCAGCAGCCTGGCAGCAGTGAGCCTGGGCCTTTCACATCCGCACCAAGCTCATCCTCTCCCACTTTCTGAGAAATAGAGCACAAACCTCCTTCCGCCTAAGCCCTCTCCCCTGAGATGAGGTGTGTGGCACAGACTCCCTACCTTCAATAGACGGGAGGATGGAGGCCCAGAGAGGGGCAGGAACAACCCTGCATCGCATCATACCCAGCCATAAGACCCCAGGGGTCCACCTCCTGGCAGGCTTCCTCCTTACCTTCCTCCAGATTCTGGCCAGCTGGGGATACCCCTCAGTCCCTCCACACCCTAGGGTGAGGGCCTGGGTGGAGCTGTGATAGCTGGGGGGTGAGAACACAGTTTGTGGGACTGGTGGGTGGGACCCCCTCCACTAAGCTGCTGGGGTGTGTTGGGGGCCTCTGTGGAGAGGGTCCACCCTAGCTTGTGGTTGGGACTCAGAGCCCATTCTAGCTCATGCAGCCAGTCCCAAACACACACACACACTCTAGAATCCTAACTTGCCCCAAAAGTTATGCCATAGGGCCCTTTTTTGGGTCAGAGTCCAGTCCCCTCTTAGAAGATCAGCAGCAAGGATTCCTCTAATCAGTCGAACCCAGAAGAGGACTTTTTTGGCAGGGCTGGAGTGTGGACAGCCAGGTTTCAAATCCTTCCCAGTATGCTGAGTGGCTTTACTTTATTAACTTCACTTTCTGGCCCCAGGTTTCCCTCACAGGCTTAGAAGTCAGTTATCGCTGAGAGATGTGAGAGGAAGGTGATGAGGGTGAGCCAGAGAAGGGCTGGCGGGTCCCCAGATGCCAAGGCTGTATCTGAGTGAGTGAAGGGAAGCCCACCCAGAAGGTGCTTTTGGAGGTTGTATCATCCACGCTGCTCTTCTGACCAGAACAGCCCCCTTCCCTGCCCAGCCCTGGCACCTGCCCCACCCCATCCCTTTGGTCAAAAGGAGCCAGGCTCTGCTTCGGGACTGGCCTGAGCCAGCCTTACTGGAGGTGACCTCCCAGCTCCTCCGCTGGGTCCCCATGGTTTGGGCTCTGCCTCAGGGCCTCTTGAACCTCTGCTGGGAGCCAGCCAGGCCCTGTATGCCCAGCCTCATGTTTCCTTTCAGGCCAAACATCTCTGGACAGCCCCAGTTTAGCAAGAGTTAATTCTCAGAGGAAGTCCTCACTCCCCCGGTAGTTTTATTTTCTTATAAACTCAGCTCCTTTTGGTAATAGGCTGCTTCCCGAGTGCTCCCTCCCCTGTCCACCCACCTGAGGAGGCCTCAGTCACCTGCTTTCAGCTCACTTTCCCCACCAGCCCCTTCTCATCCTTTGACTTCTGCCTGACCCTCCAGGCAAATGGGAATTTTATATGTGGGCTTTCCCAGGATAGGCATGCAGGGGCTGGGTTATCCAGGTGGGATGTGAAAGCTGGAGTGGGGGCCTGAGTTCAGGCCACACCTATGTGAGAATCTTGTGTATCCCTGGAAGGTGCTCACCTTTCTCAGTTTGGATACCTCTAGGGCAGCCAGTTTTATTGTGGGAGTTCTAGCTGTTAAAATGCCCTCCCTTATCCTGCTCCGGCCTTTATTAATTCCACCTCCATGGGTTCTACCCACCCTGGGAGGCAGCCCCTGCCCCAGGCTTCCTAGGCCCTCCCATCCCAGCCCCTGACCCACAAGCTCTGGTCCTCAATGATCCTCTGAAAATGGAAGCCCAGCCCAGGTATGCCCTCTGGACAAGACTTCTGGCCTTTGGTCAACCCAGCACCTCGTGCTGGTGCCCAAGTGACACATGGCCCCAGAGGAAGAGCCTCTGGGAATCACTCAGGGGCCAAGGGCAATGATGAGGGAGGGGTGGGGACCCCCTGCTCCAAGGATGCATGGGGACGTGAGGACCCCGAGAGGGTCCCAGCTGAAGTGGGAGGTGCAGAAGCCACAGCCGCCTCCCCTCTGGGCCCAGCTCAGTCACAGGTCCTGATGCTGCCTTTCTGAGGGTGTGGCCCATGCTGGGGATGGAGGGGAAATTGTGAGAGGGGGGTCCTTGAGCAGGTACAGCAGGAGGGCATTTAGTAAGGGCCAGACGAGGGAGGGAGCTCACCTGGCAGGGGATCTGTGAGGGGGGTGCTCAGCATGAGGAATGAGGGGGGACATGATAGGCCTTTCTTTTTCCCAACCTGGGGGGCTCAGTGTTGCAGCCTGGGCCCTTTTCCGCCCACCCCCCACACCCCTCTCTCCGCCCACAAGCCTCTGCGTGGGCTGCGGTTAGTGGTGGGGAAGAAGTGTGAAGTCAGAGAGAGAGGATGGAAACTCTGCACAGAGGTCAAGGGCAGTGTGGGGTGGGTCAGGACGGAAGTCGGAGACCCCCGTGTACCCAGAGCTTAGCCTCATGCCCCAGAACCAGCAGGCCCAGGGCCTCCCCCTTCACGCTTCTCACCCTCCCTACTTCCTTTCTGTCAAATCTCCTTCAGCCAGGGCACCAGCCTCACAGGAATTAACCCCTGAGCACTTGCAGCCCTGGGGGCTCCCTGGAGGGAGGGGCTCTGAAGTTGGGGCCCCTCATTGTGGTCTTAGGGATCGTTGGGCTTTGAACCCGATTTTGCCCTTGTCCCTACCAACTAGGCAGAGAGCAGCTCTTACCCACATTCCCTCCCCAGATGGGAAACTCCACATCCTCCCCTCATTCTTAGAGCCAAGTCATTGAGCTGAAGCTCCAAAAAGATCAGAACTAGATTGCCCCTTTCCCTACTGTTTCCTAGGCACTCCCCTGATTCTTTGTCCATGCCAGACACTGTGTGAAGCAATTTACCTACAAAATCTCCCTTAATTTTCACCAAACACATGGTAAAGATATCGTCCCCTTTCACAGCTGAGCATAGTCAGGTACAAAGAAGTTAAGTAATGGGAGAAGTCAGGTAAGAAGTCACGTGCAAATGCCACGCAGGCCCTGAGCAAACGGGGAGGTGGGAGCTCTGTGTTGTTTTTCTGGTTCAGGTTCTTCTTAAGGTAGGAAGCCCTTGCTTGAGGAGCGGCCAGATCATTTGTTGACTAAACCTGATCACTTTTGAAAGTGAAAATGTCAATATTTTAACATTTCAAAATTTTCATAATCATGCTGGGGCAACCAGGGTGAGCCAGAACAGTACTGGGCAGATTGGGATGTGTGGCCCCCTCACCTCCCCAAGGACTCGGGTTCCCAGCCCCACCGAGAGCTGCTCGGTTCAGCCACATCTGTGGAGGCTTTCTAGACACGGTGAACATCTGGCTGAGCTGGACGCATGGCAGCGGCTGCCATGTAGAGCAGGGCTCTGCGGTCCACAAGTCATAGCTGGTCGAGGAGAGTGAAGGGGCTCAAGGCGCCTGAGAGGAAGTGGTGGAGCACTGAGTTGTTGCAAAGCGACTTCCTCCTCCCCACAGGCCCGCAACCTCAAGTCCGCGTTCCATGGCTGGGTGCCTGTGGCCCCCTCCCTGAGGGACGGGCGGGAAGGCTGGTGCTGGGTGTGCCTGTGGGCGGGGAGGAAAGTTTGGTCCCTAAATTCCGCCATGGGGTGAGGTGGCAAGGGGCAGCTGGGGCAGGCATGGGCAAGGATGAATGGGCTGGGAATGCTGGGTTTCCTTTATCCTCCTGACTCAGGGCCAGCTAGTGATTCTGGCAGCATGCCCAGCTGATCCTGACCCCAATCCTAACCCTGACAGTGATTCCACCCTCACTCTAACCCTTTTCCTCATCCTGACCTCAACACCTTTCACAATCCTGACCTGAGCTATCAACCCCCAGCCCCAGCCCTAATCTTGACCTCAAGACCATCCTTGGTTCTAATCCCATGACCCAACACTGGCCTGAATTCCAAGCACACGGCCTCCTGACTGTGGCTCCAGGGTGGCGCAGGGCACCCAGGAAACTCCTCTGGGGCAGATGCTGCCCTTGGAAGCCCATGTGTCTCACAGCTGGTTGGAGCAGAAAGAGCCCTTTACAGGGGAGGACATTTACGTCTCTAACTTAACTCACCTCAGTTGCTTTATCAATAACAGTGAAGATTATTGTTTCTAGGTGAATTTTTGAGATCCCTAAATTGTTCGTGGAAAGAATGAATGAAAGGATAAGTCAACGAAGGCTGGAGAGAGTGGCAGCGGAGTAAGCCCTCCGCCCTGCCCGCCCTTCCATTTGCATGCTGGCTCCTCCAAAGGCGCCAGCTCAGCAGGCAGAGGTGCCAAGAGCATGTTTGAATCCCAGCTCTGGGCCACTACGGCTCTGTGACCTTGAGCCAGCCTTTTAATACCTCTGGTCTTCTGCTTCCACATATATCTAGCACCTTCCTCTTCCCTCCCAGGACAGGATGGAGATGCTCAGGGGTCCCAGGCCACTTTGGAGGTACCCAGCCTCTTCCTCCTCCTCATCTTTCCCTTCTGCTGCCTTCCCATCTCTCCTTTCCCCTTTCACTGATCCTTTCAGAAGGCAGTATATAGCTCGATGGTGAGTAGCCTGGACTTTGGGGTCCAGAAGGCAAGAGCGCCTATCCCAGCAACTCCACTGCTACTAGGATATGTGACTTTGGTTAAGTGCCCTAACCTACGTAAGCCTCAATTTTCTCATTTGCAAAATGGAGATGATAATACTGGCAACACGAAAGGGCAACTCTGAGGCAGAAGCGGCACTTAGAAGCCCATGTGTCCCACAGCTGGTTGGAGCAAAGAGCCCTTTACAGAGGAGGGGTTCTTAACACAATGCCTAGTCTGTGATAAGCACCCATACAGATTATCTATGATTCTTTTCTCCCTAGGTACCTCCCAGGTCCTGAGAGACTCAGACAGAACTTTCCCCCATAATTTAAGCAAAAAGGAAGCACCCAAATGCAGCCATCTGCTGCCATTCCCCTGACCCATCCTTCCCAAACAGTTACGATGATGGAAAATAGCACTCAGGTGTGGGCCAGGAAGCCAGGAAATGGAATGTGTATTCAGGTGCACGTGTGCAACTCTTGGTTGTGTTGTGAAGTTGAGATTTTTTTCCACTGAATTGGCAGTGTTTTCTAATGTGAGTCATTCAGGTTGTTAGCGTATTTAGCAGCCTCAGGCCTGTGCATCAAGAGACAGCCAGATGAAGGGGGAGGTCCCAAAGGGCCATGGGACATCAGGAGGTCAGGTCCCACCACTTTGCCCCGGGTCTCAGAGGTCTTTGTGAGGGCTGCCCCAGCCCCAGGAGGACAGTAACCACCTGCCCGAGGCACCCAGGTCAGAATGGAGAGAAGGACTGGACATTCTGGCCTGGGGGCATCTTCCTTCCATTTCCTGCTGCCCTGTTTGACTGTGAGGAGGGTGCCAGGAGTTGGGCAGTGGAAACTGGGGTAGCTCCTGACAAGGGGAAGAAGGGAAGCAGAGGAGAGATAGGGGCCTGGGAACTGAGTGTGGCAGGTGAGATCTCCGAGGCAGGGTGTGAAGGTGACGACCTGTATCTGTCACCTGAGATGCAGCAGTGAACGAGGATGGGGAGAGAAGCTGTGGCTGCTGGGTCAGTGCCCTGCCCAGAGCCCCTCCTGCTCCCACCACTGAGGGGCCAGCATGATCCTCTGAAAGCTCCCAGGCTGATGGAAGAGACAGAGCTTCTGCCCACAGCTTGCCCTTGGTCTGAAGGGAGAGCCTTCCGTTGGGGAGTCCCCAATGTAATGTGGGACATGAAGACTGGACCTCCCAGTGTCGATGGGGAGATGCCATTTGTTCCCACAGACCTATGAGAGGAGGGTGGGGGACCACAGAACATGTGCAGTGCACCTAACAGCTGTGATGGGGTGGGATACAGGGCCGCAGCACCTCAGCCAGGGCTCCCTACACGCCTTCGTCCCTGCTCCTGTCCATCCCCAATCACCATCAGATGGGTAGCGAGCACCGCCTGCTAGGAAGTCAACTTGTCCGCGAGAATCCCAGCCTGTTTACAAGAATTGGGCTTTGGCCTGAATGAATTAAAAATCGCTTTTATGTGAAAGGGGCTTTTGCCTTTGCCACCACCCAGCTCTGTGCCAGGATTAGTAAGAGAGAGCCAGTCAGTGAGCCGAGAGCAAGGGAGCTCAGTCATTGTCTACCCTTTGCACCTCAGCTTTTCCTGCCCTCTGAAGCCCTAACCTCACGACTTCCCCTCCTCTCCTCTGGGGTTAGATGCTCAGACACACGCACACTCTCTCTCTCTCTCTCTCTAGCTTTGGTCCTCACAATTTTCATACCAGCCTCACACCTACCTTCACTCCCTCCCATCCCCATACATCCTCTCTCACACATCCATTACCATGGGATGAGGACAGGGCCTCAAGGTCTGGAGAACTGCCCCACCCCCCTTTCCCAGGGCCTTATAGCTCCTAGGACAAGAGGGCCTTTTCTGGGAGATCCAAGGAAAGAATCTCCATGCTGGAGTGGCGAAGTCTGCACATGCCACTTAACTCCAGCTCCAACTTCCACAAAGTTCCAGAATCCCCTCTGGACTTGGTGAGGGGGTCAGATCTGAGGAAACCAAACCCCTGCCTCCCAGGCTTTGTCCTGGGAGATGGAGGCAGTGACCCAAGGCCACAGCAGAGCCTCATGTGAGGTCGAGAAAGGCTGGAGGTGGGCAGGCAAGGGTGGGAGACAAGGGAGAGAACATGAGAGTGATAACCTTCAGGGGTTCTAGTTCGAAGTGACCCAAAGAGAATGGAAGAGAAAAGAAAGTGGGTGAAGTCATTGCTAAGCTCACAGTCCTGTTCCAGCTCCATAAGGGAGGGTACCCAGAGGGCCTGAGCAGGAATAGGGAGGAAGAAAGGGAAGAAGAGAAAAATGGACAGTGAGATTCAATTCATCATTTACTTGCTGAACATCTACTGGGTATTAGGCCCTGGACAAGGTGCTGAGAACATAGTCCCACCTTTGAGGGAGTTGTGAAGTTTCCGAACAAGGCAAACTTTGATAAGCACTTATTGTGAATGGCGCCCCCTAGAGGTGTGCGGTGCACAGCAGCTGCTCCAAAAGATCCTGATGTGTAGAGGGCTCCCTGCAGATCCTGGGAGGCTGAAAGGAGCTCAGAAGCAGCTTTGAGGTAGAAGCAAGAGCACTGGACCTGCAACTAGGTTCAAGTTTATCAGCTGACCGCTCTGTGGAGACAGGAGGCCACATCTTCACTTAAGGAGTGGGGCTTTCCATAGGCTGTGCAACTCTGTTCCCCAGTCTTTCAAGGTGAGGACTCTTCATGGGCCCCCTGCTCCCAACAGACAGATTGCACTTACACTTTTAGCATGCGCTCTTTGAGAAAAGTCACAGTGACTAAAGCTACTGTAAATTCAGTGCAGCTTTTTGATGAATCTGTGTTTTATTCATCACCACAGCTTCTGTACAGATTAGATTCACACATCCCTGTATTAGATGCTGTGTTCAGACCACAGACAGTGCTCGGGGAACACATGGATTAAGGGACCCTTTGGAATCAGTGAGCTCCCCCATTCCCAGCCCATAGTCTGGGAACCACTGCCCTAGCCCCAGGTAAGGTTCACAGGAAGGAGAGGGAGGCTCCCTGGAAGAGGTGGACCTTAAAACCCAAGAGAATTTCTGCAGTTGGGGTAGGAGGGCCTTGGAGGAGAGGGAAGGGTAAAATGCTGGGGCAAAGCCACAACTGTGGCTTCCACAGTGATGACAGTAAACCCACACCCTTCTCTTCCCCACTCCCTGCCCCCTGACATCAGGGTCAGGGGAGGCTGGGGTCAAGTCCTGATGGGATTGGGATGTCCTTCAGGGTGAATTTGGCACTGGCTTACACGGAGCTGACAGAGGAGCTGGGCCGACTTCGCGAGTTGAGTTCCCTGCAGGGGAGGATCTTGAGGACTCTGCTGCAGGAGCAGGCCCGGAGTGGCGGTGAGATGGGACAGCGAAGGGGGGGCCCGGTGTTGGACCCCGAGCGAGAAGGCAGCAATGGCTACCCTCCTGAGTCCTGGGGCCACTCTCGACGTTCTTTCCCGATGCTTGGGTCTTTTACACTCGCGCTGGGAGGAGAGTGGGTGGGCATTGGTCGTCAGCAAGCCCCTGGCCCCCAGTTCTGAGGTCTTCTCTCCCCACCACTGCCCTCCACCCGTCCTGCTTCTCTTCCAGGCCAGAGGCATTCGCCGCTGTCGCAGCGCCACTCCCCAGCCCCCCAGTGCCCCTCACCATCCCCGCCTGCCCGAACTGCGCCCCCATGCCCCCCCTGCCAGTCACCCGCCCCACAGCGCCGCTCTCCCGGACCCCCGTGCCCCTCGCCCCAGCAGCGCCGCTCGCCGGCCTCGCCCTCCTGCCCGTCGCCCGTCCCGCAGCGCCGCTCGCCGGTGCCGCCGTCTTGCCAGTCCCCCAGCCCGCAGCGCCGCTCACCAGGGCCCCCCACCTGCCCGGCTCCGCAGCCCCGGCCCCCGCCGCCGCCGCCGCCGCCGCCGCCGGGGGAGAGGACGCTGGCCGAACGCGCCTACGCCAAACCGCCCAGCCACCACGTGAAGGCCGGCTTCCAGGGCCGGCGCAGCTACTCGGAGATGGCCGAGGGCGCGGGCTACGCGGGCGCCTCCCCGCCCTGGCTGCAGGCCGAGGCGGCCACGCTGCCCAAGCCGCGGGCCTACGGGGGCGAGCTCTACGGCCCCGGCCGGCCGCTCAGCCCGCGGCGCGCCTTCGAGGGCATCCGACTGCGCTTTGAGAAGCAGCCGTCGGAGGAAGAGGAGTGGGCTGTGCCCGCCAGCCCGCCCAGCCCGGAGGCGGGCACTATCCGCTGCGCTTCGTTCTGTGCAGGCTTTCCCAACCCGGAGTCGCCGGCCACCACGGCCTACGCCCACGCCGAGCACGCGCAGTCCTGGCCGTCCATCAACGTGAGTGGATGCGGGGCGCCCGGCGCGGAGACCGACCGAGAGCCCCGCCCTCCGCTGCACCCCTGAGAGGCGGGGCTCGGGTCCTTGATTCCCCGGGGCAGCGTAGGCCCTTAACTCCTCTGCTGTGGCTTTGTGAATCGGGTCCTGCACCCTTAGCCATTAAGGGTCTACCGATTGACAGTCCTTTGATTCCGAATTCTATTACTTAGTAGCTGTGGGATCTCAGACAAGTTACTTATCCTTTCTGATCCTCAGTTGACTCATTTGCAAAATGAGGGCAGTAATTATATTGTCTCATTCCATTAGAGGGTTCTTAAGAGGGGGACACTGAACCTACAGCACTGTGCATGGCACCTGGCTGACTGGCTGGGTAGTGAGCATCAGCTGGCAGTGGTGCCAGAGGCCATGCTGCCACCACAGCCACAGGCCTCATCCAGTTCCCTCCATTAGGCCTCAGAGTCCCTACTCTTTTCTGTCTGTCCTGGAAGACAACCATACTTCAGGGCTCTGTCATTTCACTGAAATAATGCGTTTTCTGAATGTCAAAGCCAACCTTTACCACCTAGAAGGACCAAAATATATTCCAAAGCCAGACAAAAAATTATTTTTGGATCACACATTGTTTGGGATTATCCATTGCTTTAAGTTATCTGGGAGCTGTGTCTCAGTCACTCTGGGGCATGTCTGGGTCTTGGTTTCCCTCGTTACCACAGATCCCTGGCAGGCTGAGCATACATACCTCCTCACACACACCTCCCAGAACCCTATGCCTGGGTCAGGGAGTGGACACTGAACTGGTAGAAGGTGGGCAGGGAAGGAGAGAAGAGGGTTGGCACTGGAGAAAGGGTATCTAGACCCCTTTTGCATGTTGTAGCCCTTCTAGCCCTGTGTCCTGAGAAAGGGCAGGCTGGGATGTGGGGACCATGAGGGAGGACTGGAGACCATAAGTGACTCCCCTCTCTCTCTGCAGTTGCTGATGGAGACAGTGGGCTCTGACATCCGCAGCTGCCCCCTCTGCCAGCTGGGTTTCCCTGTTGGGTACCCAGATGATGCCCTCATCAAACACATCGACTCCCATCTGGAGAACAGCAAGATCTAGGGTGCCTCGCCCACCCCACTGGCTGTTTCTCTGCCCTTTCCCATCACCCCCCATACACTCACTTTGAATGCTGCATGAATCTCGTGGGGGGCCCCTGCCCCTTGCGATCCCCAGATACCTCCACTAGCTACCAAGTCAACGTGTGTGCCGTCTTCCCTGGTCCAGGCACCACTCAGCCCTGGCTCTTTCTGGGAGGTCAGCTGAGGTTTCCGCTGGGGAGTGGGGATCTGGGCTGAGATTGGGAGAGGCATACCCCTCAGCCTCTCCCTCTGCCTTTCTGTTCTCATACAGGGTTGGATCCAAGAAGGTGTCTAGTGCTTAAGCCTGGGGGAGGGGGAAGGTATCAAAGGACTCCAGGAGTTCCCCCAGCCCCTCCCCAGATGTCCCTCTTTCTCGGGCTGTGCTCTGTCCCGGGAGTGCCTCCCTGAGGGGTCCCAGAGCCTGCCTAGCACACTGATGCCAGTTCTTCCACCCCCTGGCTGGCTCAGAGCTCATGGCATGGACCCCCACTGAGGGAAGGAGATGTCTTGTTTCTTGCCATTCCTTGCAGACCAGCCCTTTTCCCCCCTGTGCCCAGCTTGGGGAATGGGAAGGTGGGAGAGGACAGGGAGGACCCTGGAGAGCTGGGAGGATCCAGCCTAAAGAGGCTGCCATGAAGGCTGGGGGGCCCTGTGCCATGACCTTCAGACCAGGGGACCATGTGTGCCAGTCTTCCAGGCCCATGCCCTGTCCCTGGAGCCCCTAGCACCAAGGCACAGATTGTTAAGACAATTGCTCACCTCCACCCTTAACCCACTCAAGCCCCTTACACCACGGGTGCCCTGGAGCCCATGTGTGACTTAGCCTCTGTTAGCTGGGTGGGTGTCATGAGCCCTGCCTCCTGGGCCAGAGCCTGAGGATGGGCCTAGGGTGCTGTGGAGATCAACTTCAAAGGAGCTAACCACCCCCACACCCCAGCGACCCCCATTCCCTCTGTGAAATCTACCTCAGAGTCATACCCTCAGAAGGATGGGTAAGCAGGAGGCCAGGGGGTCCATAGGGCTGAGGTGGGGAGCTTCCTACGGCAAGAGCCTGCTGCCCCACGAGGAATCCAACCCCCTCCGCTTCAAGCCTCTCCTGGGTCTCTGCCCTGAGGAGGGGCAGTGGACACTACTGTCAGTGCATGTACCATTCTGATCCAACTCTTCCAGGCCCCCCACCTCCTCACACCCCTCCCCTCCTCCCCAGTGCAGGGGAGTGAAGGGGTGTGCTGGGCGGGGAAGGGTCGAGGACTCCAGAGAGACATGGCATTGTACCTTGAGTGTTCCCTCAGGAAGGGGAAATGAAGAAGGGGGCCTGGAGAGGGGAGGGGGACTCCTGAGCTCTCTGCACAAGTTGAACGTCCAAATAAAACTTACCTGTTCCATCTGCACTCGGTCTGTGCCGTCCATGGCTGGGTTGGGGTGAGAACCCTTGGTAGCATGAGGTCTTGCAAACCATCTCAGGAACCACAACCATGGGAGGGTGGGCATGGGGCGAGTAGGGGATGCATAGGGCATCCATGTTCCAAGGTGATCCTGGAGGCATGGGTATGCTAGTGGCTCAGATGACTTGATGGAGTTTATTTGAAACAGATATGGACCAATAGGGGGTGTCTTTGTGATAAGTCAGCCACTCCAGTCCTGAGCAGGTGTCAGGGACTCTTGAATTTTTCCCTCCTAGCAAGTCAGGAAGGTAGAGGTTCTGAAGACTTAGGGATTCATTTATCAGGAGCAGCTATTTCTTCATCAAATGATTTCTGCATGCCAGAAACCAGGCTAGGACCTCAAAGAGGAAGAACATCCATGTTCCATGCCCTCATGTGTCTGAGAGTAGGGGAGGGGCTAGGCTTCAGCCTCAGCAGCTTCTTTGAAAGTCCCACAGCCTGGGAGGTCAGAGCCAGGTCACGAACCCATGACTTCTGCCCCAGCCAGGGCTGTGCCCTCTGTCTGCAAAAGGGGCCTGAGCTATCTAATTCTGGGTGCATTTCATTGCCACATGACCTAGAAACAAAAGGCAGAGGAAGGTGCTCATTGTAGGCCTGAGGTTCAGCTCCAGACCCAGGGTAAACATCTCTCCCCATTCAGTGCCAAGGTCCAGACACCCTTGGGAAGACTTGCCAGCCTCCCCCTGCTGCTCTTGCAGTGAACAACTACAGGTGACTGCTAGTAAAAGTTCACCAGCCTTTATTCCATCTGCAGCCAAGTCCTGAGTACCAGGAAAGGTGAGAACAGCCTACAGCCATCCCTACGGGACGTGGCTTCATTAGCCATAGAAAAGAAGGTACACGGCGCCTGGTGCTCCCCAGCTTCAACCAACCCCCGTGGAGGAAGGCAGCACCCAGGTTTCTGGGTCTGGGTCCTCTTTGGATTTCTGGGAGCATTTACTGAAAGGGTATAAGTGAATTAGGGATGGTACTAGGACACAAGGCAAAGAGAAGTCCTCGTCATTGAAGGGCAGAGGATGGCCAGCACATGGCCTGGGCAACAACTTTTGATCCCTGAGCATGTCTGAAGGTGGGAGGGAACCCATATCCTGCAGTCTGGACATCACCCTGTCACCAGTGTGAAGGGAGCAGAGAGATATATAGGGTGTAGATTCTGTAGATTCTGGCAGCTTGTCTCCTTGATTTCTGGGGACCTGGGAAAGGGCTGGGGTGCAGGGCAGAAAGTTGCTGGGGGCCGGGAGGGAGGTGGAGAAGGGGCAAAAGCTAATGTGTCCCCAGCTCAGTTCCTCCAGAACAGCTGCCTTTATTTAAAGCCCCCCAAAGGAGAGGACACTGGGGATAAGGGAGCTGGAGGCAGGCAGGAGGCCTACCAGCACTCACCCCTCTCCTCCCAAGCAGGACTGTGATCGGATTGAAGGACACTGGCTGCTCCTTCTTCTGTGGTCATAAATGGGCACTGGGGGCTGAGAGAGGGCTGCAGCAAAGGGGTCTAGATCACTAGGCTCCTGGAAAGGCGAGCATGGGACAACTTTCACAGGAGCAATGTAGAGAGGAGACCCCACTAGGCTAGAGAAGACCCCTCTGGGAACCTGCTCACTCTCACCAGCACAGATCCAGAGCCAGACATGGCGGGCGTCGGGGAGACTTCACAGAGACCGACCATCTACGGGTCCATCTTGGGCCCAATGCAAAACCAACACCCAACACCCCATCCAGCTCCCGCCCCTCTGCCCTCAGTCTCCCCTTCAGCCACCTGCTGCCCCTTAGGCCTCCTTGCCTCATCTTCGGGGACCCTGCGGCCTTAACCCTCTTCCCCCAGGACTTCCTCAGCCCAGAGCTCCCAGGCTGCAGAGACCCCTGCCCCACTCCTGGGTCCTTGTGTCAGGCAATCAGGTAAGGAGAGCAACAGCTCCTTTCAGAAGCTCTGTGTGTGTGTGTGTGTGTGTGTGTGTGTGGTAGGGGAGAGAAAAGGAGAAACTGATTGCTAATGAAGAGGAGGGGTGTGTGGGTGAGTCAGCTGTGTTAATGAGAAACACCTCACCCTGCTGATTAGAACTAATGAAGAGGAACAGAGGGGTGGGGGGATTCACTTGGTGACATCTTTATAGAGTAGTGGGAAGCAGAACAGCTCCCCCAATCCCCTTTCTCCCTCAGTAAAAACAAGAACAGAGCAACTTTGGCTACCGCAGGAAGAATTAAAGTCAGACACAAGGATGAACTGTCAAGAGCAAGGAGGTCCTTCCTGGGAAGGGAAGGGACAAGGCCTGGGAGGCAGAGACCAGAGGATGTGGGCAAAGTGTGTGCAGTCCTCTGGCACCTGGCCTATTCCTGCCCTTCCCTAATTTCTCCATGTTGACTCCAGGGAAATTCTTGGCATGTAGGGCTATGCCCCCTCAATGCCCAAGTGCCTTTTGAGATCTCCAGAGGGTCATGAGGAGGCTGTTGAGAAGGCTCCAGTCTGCGCCCTCCTGTAGCAGCCTGGACAGAAGGCTCTGATTGGGGCATTGACTGTCTATGCAGATGCTGATGTCCCTGGGGCCCACCCAGCAGCGATGAGGGCAGGAGGGAACTAGGGTAGGGGAGGACCTGGGCATCAGCTTCAGGCCCTCTTGGTGGTTGCCCTGTCCCTGTGGAGCCCCCGGGAACCCGCAGCTTCACCCACCGTGCACGCCAATTCAGCTGAGGGCAAGGACACCAGGCGCGCCTCACAGATGTTCCAGTCGGCTGTGTGAGTGTGGGCACAGGGGGGAGGGAGAGGAGGGTTGGCAGGGGGGACAGGATGGGTGTTGGCCAGCACCTCCAACACCTCCTAATTTGCATTACCACTGACACCCTTCTTGACCAAGAAAATGGAGCCAGAAATAACAAGGGGGAGGTGGTTCCCTGGGGGGGCCTTTGAGGCTGTCTTTCCTTGCCTCCAACACTCCCACGGTGGTGGTGCTGGGGGCAGGAGGCCAGTGCTCTTCCAGCCCCACAGCTGTCTCCCGGCAGGGGAAATGCCCCTGCCATTGCTCCTTCCTGCTCAGGCTGGGGAGTCGCTCCATCCAGGCTTCCCACCTTCCCTGGCCCAGACACCCCAGCCCCGGCCCTTTCCTTATTCCCAACCTGCCTCACCAACCCTCCCCTTCTCTCCCAGGAGCCCCTCGCACAGCTGTGATGTCTCTGCCAATGACGTTTCTCCCTTCAGTCTGTGCCCTGCTATCCCGTCAGAGTGGGCAATTCCCAGGGCAGGGCTCAAACCACCCCTGCTAACCTGGGAGCCGCTCAAGGGAACATTGTACATGAGCAACCGTCCAAACAGTAACAGGGCAGCTTGTGAGTAGATTCCAAAAATGGCATGAGGTGGACCCGAGTCCAGTGTGAGACCCAGGCTGTAGGGCCATGGCAGTGAAAGGGGGCTCCCAGCTCTGCTGGGGTCCACGTTTACATGGAGGTAGCTCCCAAGTGTCAGACCTCTCCCTTGGGAGAGCCTTGGAGAATGGGCCCAGGACTATTCCATTTGAACATGTTTCTCCCCTTCCCCAGGGACTACCACACAGATCTGCACACATTTGGTGCTCAATTTATGTGCACTGAGTTTACTTCTGGCCCAGAGAGTACAGGGAACGATGTGGCAGCCACAGCTTGGAGGAGGAAGATGGCAATCGTGATGGGCTGAGGAGGGGGAGGCTCCCTCAGGCGGAGGTGTCCTGGGACCTGGAAGAGCAAAGTGGTGAGGGTGGAAGCAGAGCAGGAGGGCCTGGCAGGGAAACCAGGTCGCGAGAGACAGCCAGAGAGCTGTGAACACACTGTGGGAAGGAGCGAACGGTGAGCTGAGAACTCCCCCCACTTCCCCCTCCAGAGATGCTATTTTGGAGGGAGAGAATATATGCAGTGCAGGGGGCAGGCGGGGGGGAGTATACCAGCTTCCGCAGGGGTCAGGGGACCACCTGCAGCCCCCACTCTCCCTGGCCAGCCACTGTCACTGGCCCTGGAACCCTAACTTCCCTCCCCATCAGGAAAGGCTTGCTCTCTTGAGTGCTAGAAGAGAAAGAATGAGCTAGGAGATGGGCAGCTGGCCTCCTGGTAACCCCTTGGGGGCCCCTGGGGTCTCGGACCTAGGGAGAAGCTTCTATTTCCATTATTCCCTTGGAGCACAGGGTGAGGCAGGCACTGAGGGCAGCTCAGTGGGCCTGAGCCCTTCTTGCTGCCAACTCCATACTTAGGCATTCTGCATTGATTCCCCTTTAGCATCAAACTCAGGGAGCAAACTTGGTGTTAAAAGAGGCCAGGGTAAAAGGTGCTTCCGGAGCCAGCTGGTTCACCCCAAGAGGGGAGCCCTCCGGAGAAGAAGCTGGTCTTGCCCCTTTGGACCAAGGAGACTGGACAGAGGTCAGAGTCAAGTAGAGCCCTTGCTCAGCATGGAGGGAAGTTCCTGTGTCCCAGCCCAGCCCCTCTGAGGGGCCCTGACTCATATGGGGACGAAGGCTCCGATGCCCTGCGAGTTTCTGTGGTGGCTGAGGGCAGGGGGTGGTCAGGCCTGGAGAGAGAACGAGCGAGAGCGCTGGGGGTGAGAAGAGACTTTTGTTTTCGTTTCTGGAGCTTGACTCTTCTTTTGCCTGAGAGTCCAGCTTTCCCTGAAGGAGTAAGGTTGGCTGAGATGGGAAAAGGGCCTGGCCTCTAGCCAGCGAGGTGCTAGGCCCAGCAGCAGAAGGAACCTCAGGCTGGATTTAGGAAGAACTTCCTGGGGAGGCACTGGGGCACATTTCTCAGATGAACGCGGATCTGGTTCCTGGATGTTTTCCCCAGGAGAGCCCTCCCGCCCTCTAAGGCTGGGGAGTTAGAGCTGGCACTGGGGCAGTGCAGGCCAGAGGCCGGTGAGCAGAGTGACCCACAGGCATCTCAAGGCTCAGGGAGGAGGGATGAGGGTGGATTCAGGCGTCAGAAAACATTTGTCCTCAAGACCATGTCATGGGATTCGAGTTAGAAGGCCGCAGGTGGGAAGGCCTGTCCCTCATCTAAAACCCTCTTGCATTGTGCTGTCTTCACGCTTTTCTTCTGGCAAGGGGAGTCTGGCTCCTTCTCCCCGTGCCTGGAGCCAGAAGCACTTCAGGACTTCTTGGCAGGGGACAGCAGGATAATGAAGCCAAAAATCCCTGGAGCAGAGGACCTGGGGAGGGGGTTCACAGAAGGGCAGGGGAATGCAGAGAGCCCATGTCGTTCCAGCAGGCGCCCCTGCTGTAAAGGGACGCCCAGTCAGGCTTTTGGCCCAAAGGTGAAGTAGGTGGATGGGGCTGATTGACGATCATGTTCCTCCCCCTTCCTGGGGCCGTTGGTCATGTGGGTGTTCAGCAGGAGCTGAACTCTCCCACCGCGCAGATAGCAAAAGCAAACTGGATGGGAGGTGAGGGGGAGGATCAGGAGATGGTGTGAAGGAGATAGTTCACCAAGAGACTGGGTGTGGGGCAGGGAAGAGGACAGTGCCCCCTGGTGCCAGCCTTTCTGGTGTGTCCAGCACACAGAAAGAACTGACCTGGGAGATCAGAGACAGCCCCTTGTCTGCCTTAGCGACCCACTCCCTCCTGGACTAGCAGGTGATTAAGCCTGAGGATGGAGAGGTGGGACTGAGCAGGACTTGGCATAGAGGGTCCTCAGAGCTCAGAGACTTGTTTCAGGCGCTGTCCTAGTCCCTCACAGTGGGCATGTGTGCATCTCTTCCTCCAGAGTCATCCTGTCACACTTAGCCCATAGGCACACAGCACAAGGACTGTCCCCTTTATGCATACATGCACCAACACGCGCATGCGTGCGCACACACACACACCCTTTCTCACTTATCAGGCTCCCAGTGACACCCACTTGCAGAGATGCACATCTCTCAACACATATGGCATACACACAGAGTCTCACACAACCAGGAACACATACCACACCTGGTATGTCCCAGGTGGCACAAAGACAGGCATGCACTGCCAGCATTCACATGTGACCCCATGTGGACCTAGGAATAGAGCATACCAACACAGGCATCAAGTCCCACGTGCAGACACAGGCCTGTGCTCCTGGCTTTGAAGCTGACCGCATTTTCCAGGGGTGTGCTGGTAAATGTCTAACAACTGGCTCTCCAATTTAAGCTGTCATTATGACAGCACTGACGCTTGGAAGAGATGCACAGAATTTGCTCTTTCAAGCTGGTGGGAGCCAGCTCCAGCCCACCTCTCCATTATTCTTTGTAGAAATCACATGATAAACCTTAACCACAAATGGGCAGCCCCCAGGAGGCCTGCACCTGGGCATCAGTGACTCATTAGGGCAGCTTCTTTCCCCATGGGGCTGCCTCCCCTTCCCTATGTTCTCTCACCCCTGACTCCAGTCCAGACCCCACCTCCTGCCCCTCTCACTTCTCATTCCCTGTCACTCAGAGCTTCGAGCTGTGCTTGGTCCTAAGTCTCTCTCACCCATGCTCCCTCCCTTCTCTGGCCAGGGCTACCAAGGGTTGGGGGGTGACAAGCCTGTAGCTAACTCAGGCGGGCTTCCAGGAGGCAGAGAACAAGGAGATGCTGTGTATTCCCAGAAAAACGCTAAACCTGTCTGTTCCTGCTGCTGATGCCCTGTATCTGCCTCCTTGTGCCTGGTTACCTTACTCTTCTCCCTGGTCATCAGGACAAGGAGTCTGATCAACACTGAAAACTGTGAAGGGGAGAGAGTTTGCACCTTGCAGGGCAGTGTGGGGAGGCAGTTAGAGCCTGTTCTGAGAGTGAGGACCTCTGGTTCTAACCATGCCCTGGGAACATTACATCACTTCTCAGAGCTTCCGCTTCTCAATTTGAAAAAAAAAAAAAAAAAATGAAGGGACTGGACCAGGTGGTTTTAATTTCCTTCTCAGCTCTGACATTTTGGCACTCTATATTTCTGAGATTCTTCTAAAACCTACTTTTTAGAAGTATCCATTGTTGCTAATCCTGATCTTTATTCAGTGCAGGAAGAAGGTGAACAGACGTGTTTTGGGGACTGGGGGACAATGGTTATCACAGCTGAAGGAGCTGGAGGCTGGGCCTGGGCATCTGTAGGTTTGGGTTTAGGGCCTGACAGGCCACATCCCCTTGGGAATCCGTCCAGCAGCCTCTGTTCTCTTTGCTGTGGATCCTGAGTTATTCCTGCGGCACACATATTAGAAAAGGGTCAGAAGGGAGAGAGAGGAGGAAGGGATGAAGAAAGGAAGGAAGGAAATGAAAGAAAGGAAGAAAAGAAACAAAATGAAACAAAAGAGACAAAAAGAAAAAGGGATCTAGGAAGCAATCAGCCTAACCAGTAAAGCTCTCAGGGGGACATGGAGGGGCTGGGCAGAGGTGTCCCTAGTTGCTACAAACTGTTCTGTGTGGATCTGTGAGGTGAAGGCAGTTCTGGGCCTTCCTGTGCTTGGGCTGAGACTTGCCAGGGCAGAGTTGAGTGTCCTCCGCTGCCCCACCCCGTCAGAGCCCCGGGACAGCGGCTGGGCTCAAGCTGTGGCCCACTCCTCTGCCCAGGCCTCCTCCCACTGCATTGCTGAGCCTTCTGAAACAACTGAAACCACAAAATTGGCTTGTGGTTGGGTGAATATCAGTCAGTGCTATTCAGCTTGGCCTCCTAGGATGACTAAGGGGGTTGGAAGCCCCTCCTATAGTCCCCCAAATTTTCAGAGGAGTCAGAGGCAGAGATGGAAAAGTGAGTTTTTTGGGGACGCTTTTGCTGGAATCTGAGCTCCCAGACGGCGGGGCTGCAGGCACTATGTCCCAGCGCATCTGTGAGCCCAGGGTTCTGGAGGTCACAAGGGTTGTGGGTAACATTACTCCTGGGCTGCCTCACCCACCGCCTGGAATAGGAAGGGGCTGAAAATGAGGACACTTATGTCCCCCAGAGTCTACTTTCAATCTGCCTTTTCCAGCTCCAATTCTCAAGGGAGCTGGGAGCCAGCCTACTGCTGAAGGCAGGACTGGGCACAGTAGGTGCCAAGGGAAGGGCTTGGGTACTGGGCTGGGACCAGAGTCCTCCCCTGGAATCCTCCATTCCCACCCCACATGGCTGTGTGAGCTGGAGATAGTCACCTTCTCTCTCTGGGCCAAGTTCTGCTGCTGATCTTTCAGATGGTGCAGATGCAAGAAGCAAGGCTTCCAGTGTGAATGCTCAGCCCCAGCCTGAGGTCCATGTCAGCTGGAGTTTGATGGTTCCTGAGGATGAGAGGACCTACAGCTCCATCCTTCCCAGAGCCAGGGAGAGAGAACCCAGGAGATCCTGAGTTCAAGGTGGAAGTGGGGTGCGTAAGGGAGCTGCTTTCTTTTTTTCTGCTGGATATTAAAACACTCCCGGCTCCTTTTGCAACCTCCTCCTTCCTGAGCATTGCCAAGGGAAGAGGTCACATCCCTTCATCTCGATGTTATGTAAAGTGGGGTAAAAGCATCCTTTAGAAAGTTTGCTATTTTTATTGATCTGTAACATCTCAAAGGAAGAAGTGCACTTGCCAAGCAAGTACATGTCAAGACAAGTCTCCTGTCCGCTTCCCTGATGCCGCCCCCAGCCCCAGCCCCTGCCATACGTGTGCTGGAACCCCCAGGCTGTGCCTGAGCATCAGCTGCCTGGTCCCCTTTACCTCAGGGCTTAAATGTCTTCATTTTGAGCCCAGTCTGGGAGGCAGGAGGGTGGGTCCTACCCTGGCTCAGTTTTCCCTTTTGGAGACTCTATCTTTCAGCCTCAATTTCCCTTTCTTGAGATGAAAGACTTGAATTCTTTCAGCGCTGACCTTTTGTGTATTTGTAACGCTAGTGACGAAAGGGAAAAGGTAACCATGTCCTTGACCCCTCGTGCCCGCACCCCATCCTTGTGGTTCCTGACGCCCTCGTCCCCGGCCTCGCCCCCGGTTCTGCCCCATGCTCTCTTTCTGACTGTCCATTGTCTCAGTTTCTCTCTCTTTCCTGCTTTCATTCCCCATCTCTCTCTGTCTCTCTTTCTGTTTCAGCTCCCTCATCCCCCACCCGACCCCCTCGCTGGGGGTGGGCACACGTGAGTTCTGGATTGCTGAGTCAGGCTTTTCTAACCGGCCCCTACCCGGGATTCATGGTCCCCAAGAGCCAGACCCTCCCCACACTTGGCCTGCCCTGGTCCAGGCTCTGAGCCTTTGAGGAGGCAAGGTTGAGGGTCTGCACAACCTGTCTGCGACCTGTCCCCACCAGCTTGAGGGCTAGGGGGTCCCGGGGTGGAAGGAAGGAAGTGCCTGCCTCCTCACTGAGCCCCCAACCCGTGGGGAGACCAGAGAGGGTTCTTCTCACTTCAGGAGGGGGAGGGAATCCCTTTAGCGGCCCAGGCTGCAAGGTGAGGAGGGCTGTACTGACCGTGATTCTGGGAGAGATGGAGAGTGCACGCGGATGAGTAGCATATGAAGAACAGGTGTGGAAAAAGTTTGTCTCACTCATAGGCACACCAGAGGCATGGCACCTCCCCTCCCCCATCCCACCCTCACCTCTGAGGGCTGGGAGCACGTGCGTGAAGCACGCGCGCACGCGCGCGCGCACACACACACACACACACACACACACACACAGACCACGCTCACACTCTTGAGCACACATCAGATGGGCTAGAAGAGCAAGACTGGGGAGCTGGGCTGAGAGGGGGGAGGGGCGGGGCCGGAAGGCAGGGCCCCACCCCCGGCCCGTGCCCCATGCCCACCATTGCAGCCGGCAAGGTCTCTGCCCCCTTGACTTTTCCCAGCTTCGAAGAAATACCTCCCTTTAGGGGAAAGCGAGATCGTGAGGGGAAGCAGGGGAAGCACTGGCCCGGGCAGAGGCATGAGCCTGATTTTCCAGTTCGGGGCGGGTGGAGGAAGGTGGCGCTGGGGACGCCCGGGCGATGGGGCCTGACTCAGAGCCAGAACCACAGAGTTCGTCCGCTGTATTGTCGTCGGGGAACAAGAAGCCACCAGGTTTATAAGAAACTGCGATTCATCTCTGTCCCCTTCTACCCCTCTCCAAGGGATCAAGGTTAGACTTGAGGAAGAACTTACAGCCCCGGCCAGGAAAGGACTCTACCTCAGATTATCTTTTTGGAAGACTTCCCTGGATTTGTTAAAGAAGGACAGCAGGTTCAGGAGGTTTTAGATCTTGAGAAGAGGCTAGGGCCAGAGAATGGGACCCTCAATTTCCCCATGTAAATTATCAAAGAAAGCCCCCTCCTTACTCCTAGCCCAGAACAGGAGTTCTTGAGCCCCCCTTGCCGTCCCTGAGCCACTGCTGAGGCTGCAGCAGGGGCACACAGGGCTGTTCAGAATCCTGGACAGTCGGGCTGGCATGGAGAAGGGTGGGGCTCCAGCTGGCTCTGCTGCCCCCCTCTCAGCCACGGGCTCACAGGTCCCAAGATGAGAGGCAAGAGGGAGCGTGAGTGCAGGTTCTGTAGGCAGAAGGGCAGAGCTGAAGGTGTGATGTCCTCAGAGTGGGAAGAGAGAGGGGGGCAGCCCTGGTTGGCAGGGAGCATGCCCAGTGGTGTCCTCCCATTTCTAGGAGCTGCCCAGTCCCCTCCCCATCCAGACAGAAACACCTAACAGCTTGGGTGTCTGGCAGTGGCCCAGTTGCCAGGGCCACGAGTTTAGAGAAGTGAGGAATGCCCTGCCCCCGTCCCCTTCCCCTGGAAACCAGGACTCCTGGGTTCTTCCCGTCTGGGGCCATTTGCCTCCACTGCTGCCCTGCCCAGCTCTGCCTCAGCTGTGCATGAGCCAGTCCCTGCATCTTCAGTCCCTAAGTCCTGCTTACCACTCCTCCCGCCCCATAAGTGGGATGGGATTTGCTGAGTAATGGGTTCAGTTCTGCAGGGTCATCAGATAGAAAAGGAAACCAGGAATCACTTCCCAAAGTACAGGGGAACACTTGCTAGATGATCTGGGGAGGCCTTGGGGTCTTGCCTTTCCCCAGGGGAAGAACAAGGACTCTGAGGTGGAATTGGGTTGGATAAGATACCTTGTGAGGAGAGAGGGACAGGGGAGAAAGATAATGAGAGCCTGGGGAGATGGAGTCACTCACTGTTCTGAGCATCAGTTTTCTCACCTGTAAAATGGGGAGATCAATAGTACCCTCTTTGCAAGTGGGGTCATGCGAAGGGTACAGGTGTAAGCATAAGGGCTCAGTATTGGGTCACCAGCTATGCAACCTTGACAAAGTACTTGACTTCTGTATGCCTCAGTTTCCTTGTCTGCAAAACAGGGACAATGATCCCTGTGCAACTGAACTTGCAGCACCCTGAAGCTGAATGAAATCAAGGGCATGAATTATCTGGGGGTGTTCCCTTGTCTCATTCCACATACCCCCAAGCAGTGGTTTGGGGGAATGGGGGAATCAGGAAGAACTCAGATTTTTCTAATTTCCAAACTCACTAGGAGTCAAGGGAAGAGGCAAAGTACAAGCTGGACTTGGCAGAATGTTCAGGGTAACAGGAGCCTGGGAGCCCTGGCACACAGTCCATTCCTGGGGCCCTGAGCTTTGGGTGGTCACCTCAGGTCAGTGTGTGTGTGTGTGTGTGTGTGTAATACTATGAGTCCAGTATCTCAATTCCTAGCCACTGGTCCAGTTACTAAAGATTTGTCTGACTATAGCCTTTTCTCCCCAGGCCACAGAACATGTCAGGTTCTGGTGCCAGTGACTGAGGAAAAAATGGAGGCAGGCATGGGGAGATGGGCACTAATGGGCAGCCATACCAGCTTCATGCCCCCTGTGGCTAGAGACGCCAGTCGAGGCGCAGTCTCAGGGCCCTGTACAGAGCACCAGCTGCCTGTGGCCCTGGTTGGGGGAAGTTGGCAGGATGCCTTGTGACCCCTCCTGGGTAACTGAGGAGGGTGGGCAGCAGCCAGCAGCCTCCAGGGGGAAATCTCAGACTTGTGTGTCAGAGTGGATCTGTGTCTAGGGTGGTAAGTGGGGTTAAGCTCAAGGTCAGGTCTAGCCAATCCATTTCCGTGCCCACAGGGCCTTGGGTGCCCTCCACTGCAGTGGCTGGGACCCAGGTGCCCACTCAGCTAGAGATGGCACTGCTCATGCCTGCTTTGTCCCTCTGCTCCAGACACTGATTGCCTGCCTGACTCCTGCCTGGGATTTATGAGGAACGGAGCACAGCAGGTAGATCCAAGGCCTCCATTCCACTCCTAAACTACAGGTGCTATCGCCCCCTCGATTTTGGGGATCCCAAAAAAAGGAAATGGGATTGAGTTGCAGTATGAGGGACCATGAGAAGACAACTGAAAGAACTTCCCAACCTTAAGTAAATGAGGTAGGAGGTGGCTCTAAACTGCTTAAATGGACAGAGCAGTTCTGTACACTCCAGACACAGTCACTTAGCCTCCCTCTATTAAGTGCTTGGAGATCATCAACGTACCTCTGGCTCTTGGGTCTCCTAACTCACTCTTCCTTGCTCTCTGCCTTTTGCCTTTCCCAGATCACTGTTATGTTCCATGATAGGAGTTGAAAAGGAGAAAAAGTAGGGAAGGAGGGAAAAGGAAACTCTGAGAACAAGCTGGAGGACCAAGGTGGACCCCAAGCAGGATGCAGAGTTGACAAAATGACAAAGGGGATGCAGTGGTAGGTGAGTTTGTTGAGATGGTCAAGAAATGTGGGATAAGCAATCCACCTTTGCAGTGGGAGGACCTGAGGCTGGAAGGTAAGAAGGGCTTCTAGAGGGGCAATAGTGTCTCAGTGTTTCTGGAATAGAATTTGTATATACATTGTGGGTGGGGTAGGAGTGGAGAGAGGAAGGGTTGTTTCTTCCTGTCTTTGAGGAGGAAGATGGTACAACAGGCAGACCAGAAGGTGGACTGCAGATAGAATTCCAAAGTGTCCCCGTGAGACAGGGCTGAGAGAAACAGAGGGCCAGCTGCTGGGCCTGCAGCCTTCTCGTCCCCCCTCCTGGCTCACTCCGCCTGCAAAAGCTGCTCAGCTTCCCCACCCCATTTTGGCCTGAAGCCCTGGGAAGCTGCATGGCATTCTCACCAAGGACCCAGTGCTGGCTTCTTCCCTCTGACCTATTTTTTAACCATCTAATGGGATCCTGCCCCCCCCAAACCAAAGCCCCAGCCCCCTGGGCCCGTCAGCTCCACCACGTGTCAAAACTGCCCCTGTCACTTTTAGTTGGTTTCTCAGTCCAGCCAGCCCCTCCCCCAGGGCCTGAGAGCATGGCTAATTACCCAGCTGCTGAGCCTACACCCCCACCCTGCCCCTCCACCTCCAGCCCCAGTAGAAGGGCCCCAAGCACCACTGGGAGGAGAATCTGGGGCCTCCTCACCCTCCTGCTCTGTGGCAGGAAGTCCTTCCTGCTATCTAACCTCCATTCTTCCCTCTGTGCTGGAAAGGACTTTGGGATACCCCTTCAGGGACAGAAAGAAGCAGCCAGTCTCCTGTCCTGGGTTTAGGGGAGTCTTCTGTCCCTGGGTCTCTCCCAGAATTCTAGAGGATGGTCTCTGCCAACTGTCTCATTTAACAGAGCAGAAGCCTGAGGCCCACAGGGGAAAGCACTTAGCCCAAGGTCGTCAGGAGCTAGTGGTGGGACCACGACCAGAACCCAGAGCTGCCGCTCTCTTTCCATTTGCTTCTGCCTCCTCCCCATCTGCTGTCTGTTTCCATATCTGTGCCACTCTGCCCCCACCCCTGACCAAGTATATTCCCTGCCATGCCCCTCTTTCCCTTGCCCACTGGCCTGGTGGGACTACACCCTGGTGTTTCAGGGCTGGCTGGCTGGCTTTAGGCACCATTTAGGAATGGTATTTGTCCCTTTATCTCTTCTCCCCCACTTACCACCTGTGTCTCCTTTTTCCTCCCTCTTTTGTCCACCCTGGTCCAGCCCATAGGTCTGCCCATCTTGTTCCCACCCCACAATGTTAACCAGATGGACAGAGCCAAAGGGCCTCACGCCCTATACAACAGTTCCAGAGCACACTCACAGATGGAGGCCCAGTCCCCGACAGACAGATAGACCATGCAGCAGGTACACTGAGACCTGGAGAGATGTCAGGACCCGGACGGAGAGACAGGTGGAGACACAGAGACCTGAGTAGGCTCAGAGCCCCCAGAGAGAGCAGATGGACAGAGACAGGCACGGAGCCTATGCTTAGGAAATGGCCACAGAGTTTCCAGACCCCACAGATAGAAGCGGATGTAGAGAGACACACTGTTGACGCAGGCAGAAACACAGGGACTCAGACATATCGAGAAGCAGAGACTTTGAAGCCTGAGAGGCTGATGGAATTGTGGGGCAAACAGTGATACTTGGCGCTCCCTGGAAACCCTAAGAGGGCCTGGGGAGGGGGACAAGCAGGGGCTTGTGGCCAGAGGCTCCAGGGAGTGGCCTTACATCAGAGGCCTGTCCTGTCCAAGCCTAACGGGACCAGGGAGCTGTACTGTCTCCTGGGGCACAGAATGGGGAGCAGAGAGGAGCCTGGCTGGGAAGGGGTTAACCCTGGGACCTGCATCCTGCTCAGCTCTTCCACCCCCACCCTCCCAGCTCCCTTTACCCAAAGCTCCAGGTATTCCCCTCTACCCCCACTCCTGGTAACCTGACCCTGCTTCCTGCCTGAGATTAAGGGCCAGTCTGCTGAGATTCCCCGGGAAGGAAGGGACACAGCCCCTCCCCAGGGCCTCCCTGGGGCTCAGACTTACCCACGCACACCCTGGCATGCCCCCATGATTAGAGCCACTCAAGGACCCGACATCTTCAGGCCCTTCAGGAGGGCACTGGAGCCCTAGCCTGGGAGTGCGGTGTGGGCGGGGCACTGCATGGGTGGGTGGGGGGCTCTTGTGCGAAGAGCTGGGGTGTGGTGAGAGAGAAGAGTTGTTGTGAGGAAGGTTGCCCACAGAGGGAGAAGGACTGAAGTGCAGGAGGACCCCGGGGTCGCTGGAGCCCCAGGGTAAAGGCAGCCCAGCCTTGAGGGGTGTTCAGGCTGGCAGGGTGAGCCAGCCTGGGGGTAAGAACAGGGAACCCTTGACCTTGGGGTGAGCCCACATGGACCACCTGGTGCTGAGTGCGGCTACTCTGAACTCCTACAGCTGTCACGGGGGGAGGAGGCCTACAGGTGCTCTCTGCCCTCTGCCCTCCCTGGCTGTTAATCCGAAGCTTCCGGCCATGCTCTCTGAAGGCTGGCAGTCTTGGGACAGAGGGACAGTGCGTTCAGGGCTGGCAGGGGGTGGTGAGCAGAGGTGGATGCCCAAGGATCTCAGGGAGGCTGGATGCGCAACAAGGACAGGGACTGGATCACAGGGATTGACTGGTCTCCTGTGGCTCTGTGTGCACACATGGGGGATATGGTATGTGAACAGGCTGGTGTGTTTTGAATCCACACCTGAGGGGCAAGTGGGCTGAGTGGTCCAAGCACTCTGGGCCCAGGGTCACCTTGCTAGGAGCTCTTTGAGCCTGATTTACCTCTGTGACCCCAGAGTCCACTGGAGTCTGGCCCATCCAAGCCCTCAGCACACGAGTCTCCAGGGGGTGGTGTATGGGCAGGAGGGGAAGCCTTGCCCTTTCTGAGATGAAGTCTTACAAACAGAGAGGTTTTCTTTTGACCCAAGGCCCTCAGTGAAGGGGGAGGCTGGACTGTGGGAGACCCATGGATGCAGACAGAGGGAAGGGAAGGTAGAGGAGAAGAAAACGGAGGCAGTTCAGCACCTCTTGGGCCTCTGCTCTGTCCCTGTCCTGGGGCCTCTATACCACCTCACACTTCACTTGAGACCCAGTTTGTCCTGGCAGAAGGTCTATCAGCTCCATTTACTGACAAGGAAACCAGAGAGGTTAAGCTACTAGAACATTCCACACAGCCAGTGAGGGTTGGAATTGGGGTTCCAAGCCAGCCACCCCCCAACCCCACCCCCATTTCCTTCTGTCCCATCTCCACTACCCACAGGCTCCTCTGCCTCTGTAGACCTCCCTCTTGCCACCCCTCTCCCTCTTTCCTGCATCCCCCACTTGCGGGGCCTAAGACTTTCTCACTGAGTCACGTTCCTTCTGGGTTTTTCTAACTTTGTGGCCTCTGTCCCTCTCCACCTCTGAATCTCTCAGAACTGCAGCCCAAGCCTCTCTCTGTGCTCTCTTTTTCCTTTCCTGCCTCCTCCCCAACGTGCTGCCCCCTCTCTCTCACCGATCTCTGTTTCTACAGCCTCTGAGGTTTGTGACCAGCAGGGTGGAGGGCAGAAATCCTGAGTCCTGGTGCAGAGTACCCACCCCAGCCGCCTCCTCCCCAAATCCCCCCTGTGCTTGCCGCTCAGCCCTCCCCACACCACACAGCATGGGCTCATTCAGGAGCTTCAGGGTTCCTGGAGCTCAGCACTCTGCACGTTTTGAAAGGATCCAGGTGGCTGTTAGATTCTGGGGTGAGGAATTGTGTGGTCCTGAAGCTTCGGTAAGAAAATCTTCACGATGCTTGGAGCAGCCCTCCTCAGGCATTCAATCCCACCGGCCCCTCTCCAAACCCTTTCTAATATCATCATATGACTTTTCATTTATTATTATTGTTTTTCCTCAAAATGGGAAAGCAAGCCCTCTAGTGGGAAGAGCACTGGATCAGGAGTCAAGAGCCTGGGGTTCCAGCCCCAGCTCTGCCACAAGCAGTGGGTATGAGTTGGGTAAGTCATTCCGTTTCCTATATTTACCACCCAGTCTGTTGGAGACCATGACTCTCCCATCCTGGACACAAATCCTGTGTATCTCTGCTCATGCCCCACGAGGGCCAGCCTTCTAGCTGCCCAGCAGGTTGATGGGATGACAGGGGCTGAGAGGAGCAGCGACAGGGATGTGAGGGGATCCCAGGGGGCCTGGTCTCTTCCTCTTTTCCCATCTCTCAGCCCTCAGGCCTGGGAAGAGGCTGAGGTGGCAACAGGAGGAGAAGGTGTCACTGCCAGGGTTCTTCTTCTCACCCAAGCTGGCAGAGGGGCGGGACTGGCAGTGGTGACACCAGGGCCACTCAGCCCCCGCTTTTCACAAGCACTTTCTTTTTTGGGTGGAAGAAATTGGAGGGAGGGGGTGAGGAATCTGGGGTTGATGAGCCAGGCTATAAGACCCCCTAATAGCACCATTGGATTGCAGAGACACTGCCCCAGCCACTCTCTTCCTCCAGGGACATGTCCCCAGGTCCGTCTGATTCTGACATTCATAACCCCTCCTGCCCCAAAAAGCTGGGTGGGAGCTCAAGTCATCCTGTTCAGAGGCAGGGGGATGGATCATTTGGCCTGAGTAATCCTCAGGTTAGGGTAGAAAAAAGGGAGGAACAAGACTCCATTTGGCCTTCCATAGCCAAGCACTTAGCAAAAATGTCCCCCAAAAGAGGTGTCAGCATTTAACATTCTCATGTCCCCTGGGGAAGTCAGTCATTCAGGGAAGTCTTACTGAAATCTCTCATTTCCCAAAAAGTAGCCAGGGGTCCTAAGGTTACCCTCTTTCAAACAGTGCTGGCCCAGTTGGAGCAGTGGACAGAAACTCCACCCACCCCCAAGGCACCGGGAAGTGGGGGGCTAAGTAGAGAGAAGAGGCCAGTGTCTGGGTCTGATGCTGTTGTATATCTGGTCCCCTTTTTCAGGGAATACTCTGATTCTCTCTTCCCCCTTCTCCCTCCCTGGGTCATGCCTGTCTCCTGGGGTCCCCAGCTTCGCCTTCACCTGCCAACCTGCCTCTCTGTTCAGCTCTAGTTGGGAGCAGAGAGTCCCCATGGAGCCCTAAGGGTGAAGCCCTGTTGGGCTGGGACAGAGATGTAGATATGGGCCAGCCTCCAGGGGAGAATTGAGGAGGGCTTGTGGGGCTGGGGATGGTGGTGCGGGGAGAGGCACACCATATTCATTTAACACAATGAATATGTTAATGTATTTTTCAAAGCACTCTTAAAAATGTAAATCTTTATATACTGACCTGCAAAAAATTCCATGACACACCTTACAAAGCAGTAGGTGTGTTATTTATATAAAATCATGTGTGTGTGTGTGTGTGTGTGTGTGTGTGTGTGTGTGTGTGTAAAAGACCGACTGTGTGTAAGGAAGGACATCTGCAAGGGTGTACACTGAAATGTTAATCCTGTCTGGCTGTGGGGGGTAGAATTTGGGGTGATTTATACAGTCTAATTTTAATGTTACTGCTTAAATTTTCTATATGCGTATACACAGGAAAACTCCCAATGATACTACATTCAGTACCCGGGGAAAAGGATTCTGTCATAAAAGGGGTATAACTACCTTTAGTCAACAGAAAAGGAGAATGGAGAAAAACTCTCCCCTAGCCCTGTTACTAGAAGCAGCCCTTTGGAACAAGGGTTTCCTTCCTGTCAGCCAGCTCTGAATCTGCTCAAAGCTTTCCATCCAGGTGTAATAATGGATTGGACCGTGCTGCACAGGTACATCCTCTCATGTATGGCTCACAGCCCCTCCAAGAAGTAGATCAGTTTGTTCCCCTAGTCTGCAATGAGGCACTTGAGACTGACTTTCAGGCAAAGGAAGTGACTTGCCCAGGTCACATATACCTGAGTGACAGGCAGAGCCAGTTCTAACTTTGAGCTCCCACAGCCCAGTAATACCTCCAGTGCCCACGGCTGCCATGCTCAGGTAGGGGAGCTTCTGTGGGCCCAGCCCAGCCCAGGGCCCTGCAAACCTCGGTGGCAACCACTCGCTGATGCAACCCACTTCAAGGGACTCTTCCTGCTGCCCACTGGGTTCCACATCTGCCCTGGGCTGGAGGAACAAGATGCAGCGCGGTCCAATCCATTATTACACCTCTTGTGGCTCACAGCCCCTCCAAGAAGTGGATCGATTTGTTCCCCTAGTCCGCAATGAGGCACTTGAGACTGACTTTCAGACAAAGGAAGTGACTTGCCCAGGTCACATATACCTGAGTGACAGAGCAGACACATCCCACAAACCACTTAGCACAGAGCCTGGGCACACAGTGCATCAATGAGTATCTACTGGATGTTCATGGTCAAAGCGGTTCCTACTTGCTCAAGCCTGCCAGTTCTGGGAGGCCTGGTGAGAACCATCTAGGCCCTCAACGGAAGGCTTCCCATAGGAGGGGGCTTTTGAGCTGAGCCTTCAAGGATGGGTGGAATTTCCACGAGGATCCAGAGAGAAGCAGGTTGCTGTTTCGGGGGACTTATCTCCCCAGAAGGCAGTATTTAAGCGCAAACTACAAGGTGCGCGGGGACCCACTCCACCTCAGGGGCCCGCCAGTCCTCGCCGACTGCAGAATTTGCAGAGTATTAGCCACGAGGGGGCGGGGTAAGAGGGGGCGGAGCCGAGGTGGCAGAGTTGGTTGGGGGGGCGCGAGAAAGCTTCATAAAGCCACAGCAAAGGCGCCGCGCCGCTAGTGACAGCGGCCCGCTAGAGAGAGAGCCCGGGAGCTGCCGAAAGCGCGCCCGCCAAACGCGGGCGCAGGACCCAGGCGTCCGAGCCCGGGCTCCGGTGGGGTCCCCGCCCCGCCGCGTCAAAGGCCACCTTGGCCATCCGACCTACTCACCTGCTGCTGCGCGGAGAGGGGCCGGTCCTCGACGGTGGAGGGAAGGTGCCAGCCCACCCCGGATGGGCATCGTGGAGCCGGGCTGCGGAGACATGCTAACGGGCACCGAGCCAATGCCGGCGAGCGACGAGGGCCGGGCGCCTGGCGCCGACCCGCAGAACCGCTACTTCTACCCTGAGACAGGCGTGCAGGACTCGGCCGACCGTCGCGGGGGCGCCAGCCTGGGGGCGCCGTACGCCGGGGGCGCCCTGGTGCCCTCCCCGCCAGGCCGCTTCCTCGGAGCCTACGCCTACCCACCCCGGCCCCAGGCCTCCGGCTTCCCAGGGACGGGCGAGCCCTTCCCGCCGACCGCGGGCGCCGAGGGCTACCAGCCTGTGGATGGCTACGCGGTCCCGGACCCGCGCGCCGGACTCTACCCGGGGCCGCGCGAGGACTACGCGCTGCCGGCAGGGCTGGAGGTGTCCGGGAAGCTGAGAGTCGCGCTCAACAACCACCTATTGTGGTCCAAGTTTAATCAGCACCAGACGGAGATGATCATCACCAAGCAGGGACGGTGAGTGGGGCGCGCGCCGGGAGCGCTGCCGCTCCGCCAGCAGGTGGGAGCCTCCGACCGACCGCCGAAACGAGGACACTTTTTCTTTTCTTTTCCTTTCTTTCATCTTTTTTTCTCCTGCCTAGACTTTGCTCAAGTCGCCCTGTCCCATACAGCTTTGGCGTCGGCTTTGGGGGTGCGAGGGGAAGGAGTCGTATGAAGACAAGAAAGTTCTGGGGGCTCTGTATACACCAATAGGCAGAAGTCAAAGGGAATCCGGGTGGGAGAGCATGCAATGGGCGGCTCACATGGCTTAGGGGAAGGGTGCCTATGGTCTCACCCAGAACTGGTGTGTGCCCCTGCCCTGCTTTCTGCCTGAAGGGGGTCGCTGGAGGCGGAGGGGGCGCCCGTGTTGCTGCTCTGACAGGGCAGGATGCCTCTTAGCCTCTCAGCGTGGGGAGCTGGAGTGGAGGGCAGCCTTGCAGTGTGGGGGGCAATAACCCAGCCTTCCTGTCCCGGGGCCCCTCTGCCTACCTCTCCCAGCTGGTCTGCTGCTGTTGCACACAGGTCAGCCTTGGGGGGTGGGTACGACTGGGATTTGGTGACATGGAGAGGCAGTCACCAACTTTCCTTTCCGGTAGTACTTTGGGATCATATGTCTGGGGTGTGTGTGTGTGTGTGTGTGTGTGTGTGTGTGTGTGTGTGTGTATGTGTGTTGCAGGCTGGTGGGGAATAAAATGAGGGTGGGGGTGACAGGTCCCTCCCAGGCACAGGCCCCTGCCCTGAGGGTACTAATGCCCATGGGCCTAAGCAGGTGAAATTAATCCATGGGTCTCAGCCGGCAGCCAGTACCACAGTCTGTCCCCTTGGAGGTCTGTCCTCTGAAAACCTGTCCCCCTGTGCAGATAGTCACTGGTCCAAGGTCTATCCTGGTAACCCATGGCTCTATGGCTCTTAGGGTCCTGAAGCTGATTGCATGTGGGGTAGGGTTTGGGGCCAATGGTGCTGCTTCCGGAGAGAGCCTCCTGCATGGGGAAAGAAAGAGAAACTTGCAACTTGTGTGGTATTTGTGTAGTAAGCAGCACTCTGAGTGCGCCCTGCCTGGGTCTGGTGTGTGTGAGTGTGTACCCACCCTTCCCAGTGGGAGTCCAGGTGGGCAGGGGACCAGAGAGAACCTCCGTGTGGAGGGGCTGTGTCATCCCTGAACCCAGGAGGTGTTGAAGAACAGATACCAAGTGTGAGGCTTGGGGAGGGAGAGTCCATGCTGGGCCTCGGGTTTGGCATTTAATCTGGGATTGCTGGAACATTCTTCCCTCCCAGTGATTTCTGTGAGGTGGCCTGGGATTGAGGGACCTGTCCACCAACCACAGATGGCTTCAAGTTGCTGAGCTGTTCCCCTTTCCCTGGGGTGAGCCCAGGAATGTTCACAGTTTCTTTTATGGCATGGCCTAAAATCCTAAGCCTTCTGATAATTCTTCTCTTCTCCCTACAACCATAGCCCCGTCCAGGTGCACCTAAGCACAGCCCAGACATCTAGTCCTATTGGGTCCGTACTGGAGGAGACCCAGAAGATCCTGTCCAGTCTCCTTCATGCACAGACAGGGAAATGGGCCCTGAGATATTAAGAGACTCTTCTTCGAGCACACCTGTCACTGGCAGAACATACCAGAACCCAGATGATATCTGCCTGGTGTCTTTCTCCAGCCCCCCACGGCCTGGAGTAAAAAGAGCGGCCCACACTGTCCAAAGGCCTTGATGCACTCAGAATGCTTTCGCTTCCATTATTTCACTGTGTGCTAGGTAGGCCAGTGGCTTCCCCATTTACAACTGAGGGCACTGAGGGGCAGGGATAATGGGTAGCTTGTACTTGGTCACACAACAGACCTGAACTCAGGCCTCCACTCTGTGGGAGAGTCAGGGGGCTTTGCACCCTGAGGCCTGGCTGGGTCTCCTCACAGCCTGTTGCTGGGCTCTGCCCATCCAGTCCCGTGGGATGGGATGGATGGAGCATCAGTCAGAGCTTCAGGGATCAGGCAGGTGCTGGGCTGACTGGTGGGCAGCCCGAAGGCCATGTAGGAAGGTGTCTTAGGGGGACATGTCTCTGAGTGTGGGTGGCCATCTCTGCCATGATGGCCTCCCTCTTTCTTCATGTCCCTGCTGAATAATTCTCTCATGACAGGTTTTTTTTGTCTCCCTTACATCCATACACTGTCTTTTATGATACAAAATTCTAATATACACAAAAGTGAAAAGAAAAATGTAGTTGGCCTCCCTCTACCCATCACCCAGTTTCAACAGTTGTTAACACCATACAGTCTTGTTCTTCTGTATCCTCACGCACTTCACTGCTACCCTTCCTGTCTGCAACTATATTAGTAATGTGTAATTAGTAAGTAAATGGTAGATATTATACTATTTCATCCTTAAATATTTCTCCATGTACCTTTGAAAATGAACACAATACCATTAGCGAACCTGAAAGGAAATTCCTAAATATCATAAAATTTCTCTGATTGTTGTGTGTGTGTATGTTTTGCAATCTTCATGCTTTCCATCCATCCTGAGGGACTGCTGCTTTGGACATTGTGGGATTGCTGATGAAATGGGGCAGTAGCCCCTCACCGTTTCCTTTGGTGCCTCCCCTTGGATCAGGCCTTAGGGGCCCCCATGATGGGTTGGAAGGGACAGATGACACATGATCCCCAATTCAGCCCAGAATCACCCACCCGCATTTCTGAGCTTGGGCTTCAGTGATCTGGGAAGTCAGCGGCCATTTCCTTCTGATTCTGGTTTCTGAAAAGCAAGGCTTGGGCTCAGAGCACAGCTCTTTCTGTCCTTCTTTGGCAGGCAGGCCTGTCCCTTCTTGGGTTCTAGTGACTTGCCAGTCACCACCGCATCACCCACAGCCTTCTTCCTTTTTGAAAAATCCTTCCACCCAGGGCCACCCACAACCCTGCAGCCTTTTGCCCTGGGCTGACTCATTCCCTCCTGGATTGTGCCTCTCCCACCCACTAGAGACCCATCCCTAGTGTGGACAGGCAGCACAGGCATCCTCTTCTCCATGGGCAGGAATGGGGTGGGGAGCATGAATCCCAGGTCCAGAGGCTGGTCCAGGCAGCTCAGATAGGGAGACAAGGGGACATTGAGGACAAAATGATGGACTAGCTACCTGGAGACTTTGGTGTTCAAGTTTTTGTGCTTGTGAGATTTGGGGTGCCCGGATCTGAGTAGTGTTTCTGTGAGGCAGCGTATGTGTGCTGTGAATGTGTTGGCAAGCATAAAATAGTTGGTGGTAGACATTCTCAGTAGAGAAAGAGCGGGCCTGGTATCTCTGTGTGTGTGGGTGTGTGGGTGTGCATTAATTGCTGGCAATCCCCATTTTTCTGGGTGTGATTAGTTGATTATTATAATTAAGATAACTTGGGGTAGCTCTGTTGTTAAGTAACTCAATTTGCACTGTGTATGTATGTGTGAAGTTAGCTGTTGATAAAACAATTTCAGCCACACACAATCCTTGATCCTCACAGACATGATTTTCCCTTCTTTACGTTCCCAACTCTGAGAACTTTTTAGATCTTTAAAATTTTTTCTTAGTTTTAAAGCTGCTGGCTTTATTTTAAAGCTGAATTCATTTCTCTTGGGCATGGTGAAAACAATTTTGCTCTCTGTTCAGCTGTTTGCTACTGGCTGTCTGACTCCGATAAAGTGGGTCTGAGGTTGGTAGGCAAAGGAGAGCCCTTGATGCCTGAGCGTGCATTTTGATAGGTAGCAGGCAGTGGCAGGTCACCCTCCGAAGAGGTGGTACCGATTCACACTCCCTCCAATAAGATTCGAGAGGACCCATTTCCCTACAGGCTCCGTCAGCATTAGATATGATCCAATGTAACTGATAAAAACCATCTCTTCTTAATTTATACTTAATGACAGTGAATTTGAGCATCAGAGATGTCAGGATGGGGGAGGGATATGAACACCCTACCAATCATTTCTTGGCGAGATAGTTCTTAGGGGCAGCAGAGAAATTTGGGTCTTTCGATCCTGTCCTCTGAGAACACTGGTCTGTTTGGGGGGCTCAGTTTGGCACCAGACCCAATTTCATTCCCTGTTTCCTCCCCAGCAAAGTGTCATGTACATCAGGGACTATTTTAGGTTTCTACCTGGTAGTGATTCTAGACATTTAGGGGGAAATTGAGACCTCCCTTCTCCTCTCCCTTTCCCTCATCCTCTTACTGTGTCTCCTCCATTTCCCTCTACTAGTGATAAGCAGGATGGAGGGCCACGGGCACAGCACATGCTCTGAGCTTTGGAGACCCCGACCTGCTCTCCCACCAAGGAGCCATCACCACTCCTCTCCAAGCCTCAGTTTCTTCAAGTATAAAATTGGAAATAACACTTTACATTTCAAAGGACTGGTTTGATGAGTGGGCTGCTGCATAAGTAGAGGCACAATGAATATGTTCCTTCTCTTCGTGTTTTCCTACAGGTTTGGACAAAAGCTAGTTACCATATAGGAAATGTAGGAGTGACCTGACCACTGTGGGAGAATGAGTTGGTGGTAGAAACTCCCTCAATTGTTCCAGGCTTCATCCCTAACCTCTGATTTCTCAAGTCATTTGGCCTGCCGAGCCCCTGGGACCAGAGCTCTGGACTATTGCTGGGGGTACTTCAGGCCAGAGGGCTCTGACAGCGCTGGGCCTGGGAGAAGGTGGGGTGGAGGTGGGGCTGGAGAGAGGATGAGCTGTTTCACATCTTTTTAACTTCTTACCAGCTCTCAGGGGAAAGATGGACAGGAGTTAGTATCTCCATTTGCAGGTGAAGAAATGAGGTTTGGCTTGGAAATTAAGTTATCCAAGGCCATAGGGCCAAGTAAATCACTTTTCCTCAGCCCAGGAGAGTCTGGGGGGAAGACAGGAATGTGACAGTCTCCTCCCAGGAGCTCTTCCCAAGATTATTAGAGGTGTTTCTCTGGGACCCTCTGGGGACTAGGATCTACTCCAAAGTGTTCCTAAGCCCCTGAACGCCCCCTCCCCAGGTTTCCTGACTCATGGACCAGTGCTTTCTTTCTACCCTGCAGGGTTTTGTGCAGGAATGAAAAGTAATCATGAGTATTTGATGCTACCATCCTAAAAATTCTTCTTTCCTGCTTGGGTTGGACAAGCAAGGCTAAACCTTTGAAGCTGGTGATGGCACTGGTGCTGGTACTGACAGTGGTGGTAGTGATGGTGGTGGGAGGGTGATGGTAGGGGGCTGGTGATAGAGGAGGCAGTGATTATAGTGATGTTGGTGATAGGGGCGGTGATGGTAGTGATGGTTGTAGTGATGGTGGAGGTGGTGGTGGTAGTGACGGTGGTGATGGTTGTAGTGATGGTGGAGGTGGTGGGGGTAGTGATGGTGGTAATGGTGGTAGTGATGTTGGTGATAGGGGCGGTGATGGTGGTGATGGTTGTAGTGATGGTGGAGGTGGTGGTGGTAGTGACGGTGGTGATGGTTGTAGTGATGGTGGAGGTGGTGGGGGTAGTGATGGTGGTGATGGTGGTAGTGATGTTGGTGATAGGGGCAGTGATGGTAGTGATGGTTTGTAGTGATGGTGGAGGTGGTGGGGGTGGTGATGGTGTTGGTGGGAGTGGTGATGGTGGGGGTGGGGGTGACAGAGGAGGCAGTGGTTGTAGTGATGTTGGTGATAGGGGTGGTGATGGTGGTGATGGTGGAGATGGTGGTGGTAGTGACGGTGGTGATGGTGGTAGTGATGTTGGTGATAGGGGCGGTGATGGTGGTGATGGTTGTAGTGATGGTGGAGGTGGTGGTGGTAGTGACGGTGGTGATGGTTGTAGTGATGGTGGAGGTGGTGGGGGTAGTGATGGTGGTGATGGTGGTAGTGATGTTGGTGATAGGGGCAGTGATGGTGGTGATGGTTGTAGTGATGGTGGAGGTGGTGGGGGTAGTGACAGTGGAGGTGGTGGTGGGAGTGACGATGGTGGTATGATGGTGGTGATGGGGGTGTTGGTGATGGTGGTGGGGGTGGTAATGGAGGACGCAGTGGTGGTAGTGATGGTGGTGGTAGGAGTGGTGATGGTGGTGATGGTGGTATGATGGTGGTGATGGTGGTGATGGGGTGATGGTGGTGGGGGTGGTAATGGAGGAGGCAGTGTAGTGGTGATGGAGGTGGAGGTGGAGGTGGTTGTGATGGTGGTGGTGGGGTGGTGATGGTGGTGGTGGTTGTAGTGATAGGGTGGTAGTAATGGTGGTGGGGGTGGTGATGGAGGAGGCAGTGGTTATAGTGATGGTGGTGATGGTTGTAGTGATGGTGCTGGTGGAGGTGGTGGTGGGAGTGATGGTGGTGATGGTGGTATGATGGTGGTGATGGGGTGGTGATGGGGGTGGTGATGGAGGAGGCAGTGGTTGTAGTGATGTTGGTGATGGGGTGGTGATGGTGGTGATGGTTGTAGTGGTGATGGAGGTGGAGGTGGAGGTGGTTGTGATGGCGGTGATGGTGGAGGTGGTGGTTGTAGTGACAGAGGAGGTGGTGGAGATGGTTGTGGTATGGGAGTGCTTCCTTCTCTGAAGCTACTACTCTGGCACGGTGGGAGGTAATGCAGTCTCCAGCCTCACCTTCCTCCACTCTTCCTGGGAAGCAAGGCTTTGAGCATAAGGACTGTGCTCAGTGGATGGGAAGCTCCATCTAGGGGTTTAGCTGCTTCTCTGATGGCCTAGGCCTGGGGCAGGCCATCCTTCAGACATCAGGTCCAGGGGGATGGGGCAGGGAGCACTGGGGGTGAGGGCCATAGGGCCCATAGGGCTAGGTGTGTGTTACCACGGTGGAGAGGATAGATGGGGACTGAGGCATGGAGGCTTGCAAAGAACTGCCTGTGGGGGGCTGGCTTGTGGCTTTGACCCCTTTAGGAGGCAAACTAAGGTTCAGGACAGTAGTGTGCAGTTCATGTCTAATGACTGATCCTCTGAAAGAAAAAAAAATTTTAAACCCTGTTCACTGATTTCCATGGTTTAAATACTCCCATGACGGCTGATTTCAAGCTGCCCAACACGGTTTCATGAACTTCAAGATGGGGAGGGATGTGCAGTAATGCACATTACCTAGTATTTCCACCATGCAGGCTCTGTAGACGTAACTATCCTCAAGAGCAGAGATGATAGTGAAGCATAGTAAAATAATTGGAAGTGGTGGTTTTGGAGTATTTATTACTTTGGTTTATAATATAATGTGTTTAATTGTAAGTTTATATAATTTAATGTTCAGTCATGGCTGTGTTTAACAACTAGCTGGCAGAATTCCCCATCATTTCCAGTTGGCTCTCATGAGGGATGGGAGCCAGTTCAATCATGCCACTGAAGGCCTTTGCACAGGGCTGGCTGCCCGCGGGGCTGGGGCCTGATGGATATTGGCCGGTCTCTCTGTTCACCCCAGGCGGATGTTCCCATTCCTGTCATTTACTGTGGCTGGGCTGGAGCCCACCAGCCATTACCGGATGTTTGTGGACGTGGTCTTGGTGGACCAGCACCACTGGCGGTATCAGAGTGGCAAGTGGGTGCAGTGCGGAAAGGCCGAGGGCAGCATGCCAGGTACGAACACCCTTGAGAGGTGTGGTCGCTCTTATCTCAAAGACTGGGCGCCCCCTGGTGGATCCTGGAGAAACCCCTAAACCCCTGTTCCCACACCTGGGATTTAACTCCCATCCCACTGCTCGCACCCATTCTGCTTGTCATCTGTTTTCTTCTTTGCTGTAGCCTGTCTTCTGCTCAGTCCTCTGAGCACACCTCCTCTTGTCCTGCCCTGTGTGGTGCACCCCTTGCATCTTTTTTTGACCATCCCCTCACAACAGGCACAGGAGCCCCACCACCAGAGATCTGGTCCCAGGGGCTGCATACCAAAGAGGTTCACTGTCCACAGGAAATCGCCTGTACGTCCACCCAGATTCCCCCAACACTGGAGCCCACTGGATGCGCCAGGAAGTTTCATTTGGGAAACTAAAGCTCACGAACAACAAGGGGGCCTCCAACAATGTGACCCAGGTGGGACCCCTCCCCACAGGCTAGCCCCCACCTCCCCTGAGGCCACAGGTGGTCCTGTAGGCTGGTTCTGTTCTATAGAATCGCTTTTCTAGAGGACTCTGGGTCTTTTCCACCCACCTTGGGGGGAAGCTGAAGGTGAAGAAGCTGAATCTCAGGAGGGGACAGGGAGCCACATTCAGGCTGATAGAAGCCAGGGGTGGTGCAGGTGGGGGATGGGAGGAGGTTCTTCACTGGATCCTGGCTGCCACTGCTGGGTGCCGAGTTGGTCCGAGTGGTCCCAAGGAACAGGTACAGTTTCTCTAGGTTGAACAATCCTAGTCAAAGTACCCTTACCCCTGAAAAGTCCTGGTTATGCTAATACCTTGGTCACAGTGGGTATCTGTGGGTAGGAAATGGGGCAGGAGGACAGAATGGTGCCCCAGAGGGGCTGGGGACCACAGTTGGAAGGTGTGGGAGAAGTTACAGGGAGCAGGCAGGGGAATGGACATGATGAGCTCAGGGTCCTCTCTAGCAGGGGCATACGGCTGGCCGTAGGTGGGGTGGGGGTGGGGGGACCCCTCATGCTTCCTCCCTGCCACCCCACAACCACTTTGCTCCCTCCCAGATGATTGTGCTCCAGTCCCTCCATAAGTACCAGCCCCGGCTGCACATCGTTGAGGTGACGGATGGAGAGCCAGAGGCGGCCTGCAGCGCTTCCAAAACGCATATCTTCACTTTCCAAGAAACCCAGTTTATTGCGGTGACCGCCTACCAGAACGCAGAGGTGAGGGCTGCCGGGGCTGGGCCTGAGCCTGGGAGGCGGGGAGACAGTGCAGAACCACATCTTCCCTGGTAGAGATTTTGGAAATTCCCTAGTCCCAGACTCAGGTGACTCTATTCCCCCTCTCTCTAGATCACTCAACTGAAAATTGATAATAACCCTTTTGCCAAAGGATTCCGGGAGAACTTTGAGTCGTAAGTGCCACTGGGTTCAACTCACCTTTGCAGCAGAGGGCCTCCTCTTGGTTCCTCCTGGGCCTGGGACTCTAGACATGTGCTCTGCATGTCCCCTGTGGGTGGGAAAGGGTGGGGTGGGTGTAAGCCAGGGAAGGAGGGTCCCGGGAGGGATGTGCAATGGGCAGTCTCATAGGTGACCGGTTCTGTTTGACTCCTGGTTTTTTGCCCCCTATTTTTTTTAGCATGTATGCATCTGTGGACACCAGCATCCCCTCCCCACCTGGACCCAACTGTCAATTGCTTGGGGGAGACCACTACTCTCCTCTCCTACCCAACCAGTATCCCGTTCCCAGCCGCTTCTACCCCGACCTTCCTGGCCAGGCCAAGGATGTGGTTCCCCAGCCTTACTGGCTGGGGGCCCCCCGGGACCACAGCTATGAGGCTGAGTTTCGAGCAGTTAGCATGAAGCCTGCTTTCCTGCCCTCTGCCCCTGGGCCTGCCATGTCCTACTACCGAGGCCAGGAGGTCCTGGCGCCTGGAGCCAACTGGCCTGTGGCCCCCCAGTACTCTCCCAAGATGGGCCCAGCCAGCTGGTTCCGCCCCATGCGGACTCTACCCATGGAACCTGGCCCTGGAGCTTCAGAGGGGCGGGGACCAGAGGACCAGGGCGCCCCCTCAGTGTGGACTGAGATCACCTCCATCCGGCTAGAGTCTAATGACTCAGGACTGTGCGAAGGAGACTCTAAGAGGAGGCGTGTGTCCCCCTATCCTTCCAGTGGCGACAGCTCCTCCCCTGCTGGGGCCCCTTCTCCTTTTGATAAGGAAACCGAAGGCCAGTTTTATAACTATTTTCCCAACTGAACAGATGACATGGCCAAAGGAACAGAAATAGTGTCATTAGGTTGGAGGACACCAACTAACATAGACAGCAGACTCAGGACTGAGAGGCTCCCCAGCTCCCTCTGTCCCTTCTTTTGTAGTTGGTTGACAAAGAAGGGGGCCAAGGCTGATTCTGGGGTTTGCATCTTGCTTCCTGGCCCCCATGAAACCCGAGAGGAGTGTTCCCTTCCTCTCCCTTTGCCCCAACTACAGACGTTTACCTGGTGCTCCTTCTGGCTGTGGGTTCTCAGCCCAAGAACAGAAAACAGAACAAGAGCCTGGCCACAGAGGAGCTTTCTCCCTCCTGGGGGTGCGCGTGCGGTCCGTGCGCAAGGGGGGGTCTGGAGACCGGCGCTTTCCCTTGGCGGACTTTCAGTCGTTTTGTTTGCATGTGTAAACTCCTGGTCTGAAAAGAAAGATCTGTGGATTTTGTAACAACAGCCATCCAGCCAGGGGCCAGGAGAGGACGCAGGTGACCCTGGGCAGCTGGCCTGGGCCCCACCCGCTCAGAAACAATGGGAACCTGAGGAAGGGGCTGGGGAGGGGGCATGGTACGCTTGGTGAGAAGCAAAGTCTTGGGGGTAGTGGCTGTGGGTGCGCGTGTGCTTTTTTCTTTTTTTTTTCCTTTTTGGAATGGGGGAGGCTATTTATTGTACAGAGAGTGGTGTCTGAATGTATTTCATTTGTCTCCATCACTTTCTGAAAATAAACATGAAACTGTCAAGTGTGTCTTGCTTGGGTGCCCGGCTGGGGGACATGCATGGGGACCCTGCTGGACATGGCAGCCACATCAACGCTGCCGTCGGCTTTCCAGCAGGACCCACAGTTCCTAAGAACCTGGACCTCCTAGACATCCCAAGTGACTTCATTCAGGGGATTGCCTGAGTTAGAGCAAGGCCACATGTCCTACCTGCTGTGCTCAGGTTGTGGTTGATGCCACCTCACAAGGCATCTTGGGACAGAGAACCATCGGGCCCTCTGCCTGTTTGTCCCCTTGACCTGTGGAGGAGGGTCGTGAGGGCAAGGCCGGAGGACCTGCGGTTGGGGTGGGATCCTGCGGGGCCAGGCGGCCTTGATTTCTCTCTGCATTTCTAGCAAGCTTTGGTTCTCCTTTTAGGGTTGTTTGAGGGTTAAAGGAGAAAATGTAAATCAGACCACATGATATTGCTGTTTTTATAGGTCAAGAATGAGCAAATATTGGCAATTTCTGTGACACAACCTAGTACATGTCAAGGGTTTGGAACAGTGCCTGATAAACAGTAGGTACCCAGTGTGTAAACTGCTATTGTTGTAAACTGCTATCCTTCACTAGCTCTGATGCTGTCTCCCTTTATACACACGCTGAATTGTTTTTAAAATGGTACGTGCTTCTCTTAAAGAATTTAAGCAATGCAGAAAAATATGAAGACAGCAATAAACTACCCCAAATCTTACCACCCATCAGTAATTATCATTAACCTTAGATTGGTTAGACAGATAGACAAATATTTTTATAACATTGGAATCAGACTGAAAACCCTTTCTTGATGAAAACTACTGAATATTAGTTTACAGAATTTAATTAAAAGTAAAACATCAAACAAACCATCAACCCCCCAAAAACTCAAGTGAATGAAGGGAATTGCTGAACTCAAGATAAATTTTTCTTCACTATAAGAAATACTGCCTGAAGAAACCCACAGGCTAGCCCCCACCTCCCCTGAGGCCACAGGTGGTCCTGTAGGCTGGTTCTGTTCTATAGAATCGCTTTTCTAGAGGACTCTGGGTCTTTTCCACCCACCTTGGGGGGAAGCTGAAGGTGAAGAAGCTGAATCTCAGGAGGGGACAGGGAGCCACATTCAGGCTGATAGAAGCCAGGGGTGGTGCAGGTGGGGGATGGGAGGAGGTTCTTCACTGGATCCTGGCTGCCACTGCTGGGTGCCGAGTTGGTCCGAGTGGTCCCAAGGAACAGGTACAGTTTCTCTAGGTTGAACAATCCTAGTCAAAGTACCCTTACCCCTGAAAAGTCCTGGTTATGCTAATACCTTGGTCACAGTGGGTATCTGTGGGTAGGAAATGGGGCAGGAGGACAGAATGGTGCCCCAGAGGGGCTGGGGACCACAGTTGGAAGGTGTGGGAGAAGTTACAGGGAGCAGGCAGGGGAATGGACATGATGAGCTCAGGGTCCTCTCTAGCAGGGGCATACGGCTGGCCGTAGGTGGGGTGGGGGTGGGGGGACCCCTCATGCTTCCTCCCTGCCACCCCACAACCACTTTGCTCCCTCCCAGATGATTGTGCTCCAGTCCCTCCATAAGTACCAGCCCCGGCTGCACATCGTTGAGGTGACGGATGGAGAGCCAGAGGCGGCCTGCAGCGCTTCCAAAACGCATATCTTCACTTTCCAAGAAACCCAGTTTATTGCGGTGACCGCCTACCAGAACGCAGAGGTGAGGGCTGCCGGGGCTGGGCCTGAGCCTGGGAGGCGGGGAGACAGTGCAGAACCACATCTTCCCTGGTAGAGATTTTGGAAATTCCCTAGTCCCAGACTCAGGTGACTCTATTCCCCCTCTCTCTAGATCACTCAACTGAAAATTGATAATAACCCTTTTGCCAAAGGATTCCGGGAGAACTTTGAGTCGTAAGTGCCACTGGGTTCAACTCACCTTTGCAGCAGAGGGCCTCCTCTTGGTTCCTCCTGGGCCTGGGACTCTAGACATGTGCTCTGCATGTCCCCTGTGGGTGGGAAAGGGTGGGGTGGGTGTAAGCCAGGGAAGGAGGGTCCCGGGAGGGATGTGCAATGGGCAGTCTCATAGGTGACCGGTTCTGTTTGACTCCTGGTTTTTTGCCCCCTATTTTTTTTAGCATGTATGCATCTGTGGACACCAGCATCCCCTCCCCACCTGGAACCAACTGTCAATTGCTTGGGGGAGACCACTACTCTCCTCTCCTACCCAACCAGTATCCCGTTCCCAGCCGCTTCTACCCCGACCTTCCTGGCCAGGCCAAGGATGTGGTTCCCCAGCCTTACTGGCTGGGGGCCCCCCGGGACCACAGCTATGAGGCTGAGTTTCGAGCAGTTAGCATGAAGCCTGCTTTCCTGCCCTCTGCCCCTGGGCCTGCCATGTCCTACTACCGAGGCCAGGAGGTCCTGGCGCCTGGAGCCAACTGGCCTGTGGCCCCCCAGTACTCTCCCAAGATGGGCCCAGCCAGCTGGTTCCGCCCCATGCGGACTCTACCCATGGAACCTGGCCCTGGAGCTTCAGAGGGGCGGGGACCAGAGGACCAGGGCGCCCCCTCAGTGTGGACTGAGATCACCTCCATCCGGCTAGAGTCTAATGACTCAGGACTGTGCGAAGGAGACTCTAAGAGGAGGCGTGTGTCCCCCTATCCTTCCAGTGGCGACAGCTCCTCCCCTGCTGGGGCCCCTTCTCCTTTTGATAAGGAAACCGAAGGCCAGTTTTATAACTATTTTCCCAACTGAACAGATGACATGGCCAAAGGAACAGAAATAGTGTCATTAGGTTGGAGGACACCAACTAACATAGACAGCAGACTCAGGACTGAGAGGCTCCCCAGCTCCCTCTGTCCCTTCTTTTGTAGTTGGTTGACAAAGAAGGGGGCCAAGGCTGATTCTGGGGTTTGCATCTTGCTTCCTGGCCCCCATGAAACCCGAGAGGAGTGTTCCCTTCCTCTCCCTTTGCCCCAACTACAGACGTTTACCTGGTGCTCCTTCTGGCTGTGGGTTCTCAGCCCAAGAACAGAAAACAGAACAAGAGCCTGGCCACAGAGGAGCTTTCTCCCTCCTGGGGGTGCGCGTGCGGTCCGTGCGCAAGGGGGGGTCTGGAGACCGGCGCTTTCCCTTGGCGGACTTTCAGTCGTTTTGTTTGCATGTGTAAACTCCTGGTCTGAAAAGAAAGATCTGTGGATTTTGTAACAACAGCCATCCAGCCAGGGGCCAGGAGAGGACGCAGGTGACCCTGGGCAGCTGGCCTGGGCCCCACCCGCTCAGAAACAATGGGAACCTGAGGAAGGGGCTGGGGAGGGGGCATGGTACGCTTGGTGAGAAGCAAAGTCTTGGGGGTAGTGGCTGTGGGTGCGCGTGTGCTTTTTTCTTTTTTTTTTCCTTTTTGGAATGGGGGAGGCTATTTATTGTACAGAGAGTGGTGTCTGAATGTATTTCATTTGTCTCCATCACTTTCTGAAAATAAACATGAAACTGTCAAGTGTGTCTTGCTTGGGTGCCCGGCTGGGGGACATGCATGGGGACCCTGCTGGACATGGCAGCCACATCAACGCTGCCGTCGGCTTTCCAGCAGGACCCACAGTTCCTAAGAACCTGGACCTCCTAGACATCCCAAGTGACTTCATTCAGGGGATTGCCTGAGTTAGAGCAAGGCCACATGTCCTACCTGCTGTGCTCAGGTTGTGGTTGATGCCACCTCACAAGGCATCTTGGGACAGAGAACCATCGGGCCCTCTGCCTGTTTGTCCCCTTGACCTGTGGAGGAGGGTCGTGAGGGCAAGGCCGGAGGACCTGCGGTTGGGGTGGGATCCTGCGGGGCCAGGCGGCCTTGATTTCTCTCTGCATTTCTAGCAAGCTTTGGTTCTCCTTTTAGGGTTGTTTGAGGGTTAAAGGAGAAAATGTAAATCAGACCACATGATATTGCTGTTTTTATAGGTCAAGAATGAGCAAATATTGGCAATTTCTGTGACACAACCTAGTACATGTCAAGGGTTTGGAACAGTGCCTGATAAACAGTAGGTACCCAGTGTGTAAACTGCTATTGTTGTAAACTGCTATCCTTCACTAGCTCTGATGCTGTCTCCCTTTATACACACGCTGAATTGTTTTTAAAATGGTACGTGCTTCTCTTAAAGAATTTAAGCAATGCAGAAAAATATGAAGACAGCAATAAACTACCCCAAATCTTACCACCCATCAGTAATTATCATTAACCTTAGATTGGTTAGACAGATAGACAAATATTTTTATAACATTGGAATCAGACTGAAAACCGTTTCTTGATGAAAACTACTGAATATTAGTTTACAGAATTTAATTAAAAGTAAAACATCAAACAAACCATCAACCCCCCAAAAACTCAAGTGAATGAAGGGAATTGCTGAACTCAAGATAAATTTTTCTTCACTATAAGAAATACTGCCTGAAGAAGTGCTCTCAGTTTATGAAAAGGGCTTACGGGAAACACTAAGAGGCTGGATCACTGTGTCTGCCTCACCTCAGTCCAGGAGACACCTCATTCTGATGGGGGACATGATTATGGGCTTTGGAGTGCCCCAATTCTATTTGGGGCCTGGAAAACTTCACTTCTGTTACTGTTCACGTCCCCTTCTTTACTGGTCTCTAACTAGAGCCATTTTCAATACTTTCTAGTCAAAAGAAAGAAAAGATAAGGAGATATATTTGGTTCCATCCTCTTTGGATTTGGAAACTCACAATTCTGTAACTGACCCTAGGAGTTCTTCCAGACCCCAAGCCGTGAGCACAGAGTATTCCTCCCCTGCCCCTCCTCTTGCCTGTCACTCTGTGGAGTTCATGACACTAAGTTAGACCTATTTCTTTTCTTGGGGAACTGTTGTTGGTAATTACAATACTTTTCTACCCTGTGGTTTTTATTTTCATTTAAATTTTTTTCACTATTGAAGTATGGTTGACATATAATGCATTAGTTTCAGGTGTACAACATAGTGATTGGACAATTATATACTTCATGAAATGCTCACTGTAAGTGTTACCATCTGTCACAATCCAAAGCTATTACAATATTATTGACTATGATGTGCTTTTCCTCTCCGTGACTAATTTATTTTACAACTAGAAGTTTGTACCTCTTCATCCCCTTCACTTATTTCACCTGTCCCCCTGCCCTCCTCACCTCCAGCAATCACTGGTTTGTTCTCTGTATTTATGAGTCCGTTTCTTTTTCTGTTTGTTTTGTTTTTTAGATTGTACATATAACTGAAACCATATGGTATTCATCTTTCTTTGTCTGACTTATTTCACTTAGCATGATACCTTCTAAGACCACCAATATAGTCAAGAATGGTTTTTGTTCACGTCATTAAATTGAAGTGAAGGGAGCTGTGATCAAGCCATATTCCACCATCTTTTTCCAGAAGTGTGGCTGCATGTATTTTGATACTTTGTTATTTGACTCATAAAAGTTCACTACTAACAACTCAACCAAAAAATGGGCAAAAGATTTGACTAGACATTTCTCCAAAGAATATAAATGACCAACAAGCTCATGAAAAGATGCTCAATGTCATTAGTTGTTAATAAGTCAAATGCAGTTCAAAACCACAAAGATACCACTTCATACCCATTTAGGATGGCTATCATTTTTTAAATATGGAAACCAGAAAGTGTTGGAAAGGAGATGGAGAAATTGGAACCCTCAAGCATTATATATATAAAATGGTGCAGTCACTGGAAGAAAAATACGACTTCGGCAGTTGCTAAAAACGTTGAACAAAGAATTTCCATATGATTCAACAATTCCACTCCTAAGATACCCAGCAGAAATGAAAAGAGACTCCCAACAAATACATGTACACCAGTGTTCACAATAGCATTATTCACAATAGCTAAACGATGGACACAAACCAAATTTCTTTCAACAGAAGAATGGATAAACAAAATGTGGTATATACGTTCAATGGAGTATTATTCAGCCATAACAAGGAATAAAATTCTTATACATGCTTATAACATGGAAGGATGTTGGAAACATTGTGCTAAGTGAAATAAGCCAAATGTTGTATGATTCCACTTATACAACATATCTTGATATATCTTGAATAGAGAAAGTCAGAGAGACAAGAAGGAGAACAGAAGTTACCAACAGGCTGGGGCTGGGGGAAGAGAATGGAGAATGGGGATGGAGTTGTTAGGGGTGATGAAAAAGTTCTTAAAATAGATAGTAGTGATAGTTATACAATATTGTGAATGTAAAAAACACAAAAAAAAAAAAAAAAAAAAAAAAAAAAAATAAAAAATATTATAAAAAATAAAAAAAAATAAAAAAAAAAAAAAAAAAAAAAAATCACACACACACAGAAGAGTTCACTACTACTGTTTGTTCACTACTAAATGTATCTTTTACTGAATATAGATAATGAATCAATTATTTTACTGAATATATATGAATACACACAGTCTTTAGTAAATATAATGCATTTTACCTTAAATATTATATGGTCTGGCATTAATATTCCATTTTTGCTTTGTTTTTATTTAAATTCATCTGATAAGTTTTCTCATTTTTAGTTGATCATGTCTTAGTTTCACTTTTGTTGTAGTTAAGTCTTTATCAAGCAGCAAACTACCTGATTTGAAACACATTTAAGGTTCTTAAAATTTTTATTTATTTATAAATATAATGATCACTCATTAACTTACCACACAACTCATGAAGTAAAACACTAATAATATCACAGCTAGCTATATAATACCCCATTCCATCTCCTGCCTTTTGCTTATAACCAGTATCCTGAATTTTGTGTATACTTTTCTTGTTTTTAAAATTACATGTTAATACATATATCTAACTATTATGTCATTTAGTTTTAGTTATTTTGAACTTTATAAAAAGTGTGTGCATATATTTCTATGCATAGACATGGTCTATTTCTTCATTTATTTAGGTCATCCTTAAGGTCCTTAATAAGTTCCACAGTTTGTAAGTATAGATCTTACATATATTTTATTAGATTTATTCTTAAGAATTAAGTAGTTTTTTCCTCTATGAAAGGCATCTTTCAGAAATATGTTTCCTAATTATTACTGGTATATAGAATTAAAACTGATATTTGTATGCTGTTCATAAGATCCAGCCACCTTGCAAAACTCTCTTATTATTTTTTAGTGGTTTGCTATAAATTCATTATTTTCTTACTGGCCAATCAGATTATTTCAAGTAATGACAGTTTTATCTCCTCCTCTCTAATTAAAAGGCCTCTAATTTCTTCTTATTATTGCACTGGCCAGAACTTCAAATACTACTTTCTTGCTTTTCTGGGATGATTACGCCATATTTATTCCACTTTTCAATTATGCTGGTTTGACATTTCTGTAACCTATTTCTATTATTTTAGTGGCTAAACCATGTTCAAACATACCAAGTCAGAATGGTCTTTCCCTACGCTGATTTGGTTTTCCCTCAATTCAATTGTGATTTTTAGAGCCTTCACTGGGAGTATAAATTCTGCCATAGGATTTGGGTTTTCTTTTCCGTTTTGCCTTAATCTGTCTCTCCTTCATCCTGCCCTATTATCTTTGTATCTCAATTCTCTCCTAACAGATTTTTAAAAATTTCATTGAAGTTGTGAATAGTTCCCTAGAATTTTCTTTTAGATCTTAAAATGGCAAGATAATTGAGTAAAGCAACTTACTAATTGGGATTATTAACTATAGATCAGTTAAATGAGTAATTGAACTACAGCACTTTGGGGGCAAAATAATAGATATTGTATCTAGTAGACCAAACTCCTCTTTTATGAAGCCTTTACTTATATCCTCTTCTTTCCAGGGGTAAGCCTTGAAGACCATGTTTATATGATGTAACCCTGCCCCTCCCCACACACCTCATCATAGCTGATTGGAAGAGGGTTGATAAACAAATGAATTGGGGTTGATTAGTAAATTAGCGCTATTGCTTGAGTTTGGGTTGTGTAAACTGGTGCAACAGGGCAGCCAAGTATATGAAAATTCAGAGAATGCGGTTTGTGGAAACAGGAGCAGAAAATGTGCAAAGAGGTAGAGTAATAAAATATAAGGGGAGTGAGTGATAGCAAGAGCGAGAGTGAGAGTGAGAAAGAACTTCCTGGTTCCAGTTCCTCTTAAGGTCCTACTGAACTTCCTCTTTGTCCTCTGAGCCACACCACGTGGCTAACAGCAGTTTCCCTTGTGGAGTGGGAGTCTGGGACTACTAAGAGAACTTCGATTAAGTCATCCCTTCCCATTTATAACAAGCAAGTCACATCATTGTAAGATGCAGAAATGTTACACATCCTGTTCCTATAGTGGGAGGACATGTACTCAGCTTAACCCAAAGTAATAGCAGACTGTTAGGAAACAAAGTAAAAAAGGGTAAGGCTGGGTTAAGGTGGGAGGCAGAAACCACATTCTCACTTTACTCCTGTGGGAATTATTCTCGGATTCATCCCAAGGTTGATGCTGCCATTCCTAGGTCTTGCTGAA